GAAACTTCCTCACACCTCAAGAGATGCGAAGACTTTGACAGGCAAAGTGCAATATGATAGGTGATTGCACTTTGCCCTGTCACATACATCTCGACAGAGGCAACATTCGATATGAAAGTTTCCTCTGTCGAGAAACTCCTCACACCTCAAGAGATGCGAAGAACTTTTGACAGGCAAAGTGCAATATTGATAGGTGATTGCACTTTGCCTGTCACATACATCTCGACAGAGGCAACATTCGATATAAAGTTTCCTCTGTCGAGAAACTTCCTCACACCTCAAGAGATGCGAAGAACTTTTGACAGGCAAAGTGCAATATTGATAGGTGATTGCACTTTGCCTGTCACATACATCTCGACAGAGGCAACATTCGATATGAAAGTTTCCTCTGTCGAGAAACTTCCTCACACCTCAAGAGATGCGAAGAACTTTTGACAGGCAAAGTGCAATATTGATAGGTGATTGCACTTTGCCTGTCACATACATCTCGACAGAGGCAACATTCGATATGAAAGTTTCCTCTGTCGAGAAACTTCCTCACACCTCAAGAGATGCGAAGAACTTTTGACAGGCAAAGTGCAATATTGATAGGTGATTGCACTTTGCCTGTCACATACATCTCGACAGGCAACATTCGATATGAAAGTTTCCTCTGTCGAGAAACTTCCTCGAAACTCCAATTTTCTTTAGAACTACAATATCTTAACAATTAGCTCATCAAAACACAACCTATAAACTTTAATTTTACTTTTGTTTTTTTCAATATATGAACTAAATTTTTTTTTCAAATTACTCCCACACTGGGAAAAGTATTTTAACTCAGATGTTGCCAGCCTCTTCATCATTGCATTAACAAGTGCTTTGACTCAGAGGTTGCCAGCCTCTTCATCATTGCATTAACAAGTGCTTTGACTCAGAGGTTGCCAGCCTCTTCATCATTGCATTAACAAGTGCTTTGACTCAGAGGTTGCCAGCCTCTTCATCATTGCATTAACAAGTGCTTTGACTCAGAGGTTGCCAGCCTCTTCATCATTGCATTAACAAGTGCTTTGACTCAGAGGTTGCCAGCCTCTTCATCATTGTAAAAATGTATTACCGCTTTTTTTTAATTCAATCGTAACATCTCAATTATCCCGCCAAAAATTATTGGGTCTAAATTGGTTTTTATTATTATTATTTCAGAAACAAACTAACTTGTTTTTTACGAATTTATCATTCATAAAGTCTTTATGATATATTTTCAACTTATAATGAATATGAAATTATAATTGTTATTTTGAAAAAAAATTATTCATGATCAATTCATGATTTAACCAGTTCCTTCAAATTAGGAGAGCATATTCAAATATAATCGCTCATTAAAATCAATTTTTATGTTTTTTTTAAATCGAAATTATCTCATCATAAACCACGCAAACTGACTATTTGTTCTTATCACCATGTTACCAATATCAGAATTGTCTTTACAGCCAAAATTTCGCTCGATAAAAGTCCATCCAATAGTGAGATAATTGAGCAACTAACATTTTTCCATATCACAAAAACCTCCGCCTATTTATATATGTATATATTTATATATGTATATATTTATATATGTATATATTTATATATGTATATATTTATATATGTATATATTTATATATTATATATTATATATGTATATATTTATATATGTATATATATATATTGTATATATTTATATATGTATATATTTATATATGTATATATTTATATATGTATATATTATATATGTATATATTTATATATGTATATATTATATATGTATATATTTATATATGTATATATTTATATATGTATATATTTATATATGTATATATTTATATATGTATATATTTATATATGTATATATTTATATATGTATATATTATATATGTATATATTTATATATGTATATATTATATATGTATATATTTATATATGTATATATTTATATATGTATATATTTATATATGTATATATTTATATATGTATATATTTATATATGTATATATTTATATATGTATATATTTATATATGTATATATTTATATATGTATATATTTATATATGTATATATTATATATGTATATATTTATATATGTATATATTTATATATGTATATATTTATATATGTATAATTTATATATGTATATATTTATATATGTATATATTTATATATGTATATATTATATATGTATATATTTATATATGTATATATTTATATATGTATATATTATATATGTATATATTTATATATGTATATATTTATATATGTATATATTTATATATGTATATATTATATATGTATATATTTATATATGTATATATTTATATATGTATATATTTATATATGTATATATTTATATATGTATATATTTATATATGTATATATTTATATATGTATATATTTATATATGTATATATTTATATATGTATATATTTATATATGTATATATTTATATATGTATATATTTATATATGTATATATTTATATATGTATATATTTATATATGTATATATTTATATATGTATATATTTATATATGTATATATTTATATATGTATATATTTATATATGTATATATTTATATATGTATATATTTATATATGTATATATTTATATATGTATATATTTATATATGTATATATTATATATATATTTATATGTATATATTTAAAAGACGGTGGTTCACCAACATGATTATGAAAATGATGTCCATTTACAAATCTGTATTGATTAGATTTCATTTCAAAGGTAATGTTAGCACTACAACTTCCCCATCTACAGTAATGTCTAATAATTGTTACTCCATCTGAATTCAAATGCGAATCTTTCCGATAATTGCAGTTAGCACGCATCTCTGCTTGAACTCCATATTGAAGATAATGAATGAAATCAATATATTGTTTTGTATCAGCAAGGGGTGCAGGAACGGATTGATTCATTTAAAAAATGAAAAAAGTGAGAATTGTAAATAATTAAGGTTAATATTGAATAAATAATACATCAAACTAGTTTTAGAGTTGATAGTAAGAAGCGAAGAACACTACCAGTAAGATACAGCAGTAGTAGCTGCTTCATGCTGCATTGAGTATTGTTGAATAATTTGAAGTAGTGGTTTTTGAAATCAGCACCCCTATGAGAGCGCTGGCGACCGAAACACCACTAGTAAGATTGTGTATTAGAAACTGCTTCATGCTGTGTTGAGTAAGCTTCGATATCTTTATCAGACCACCTTTAAATTAACCACTCACATTCTCACTGTGGTCCATCTAAAATTTGTAAACTTTATGACATAAAATTATATTATATGCAGGATCCCACCTATTACTTAATCTTTTTGGAATAAATGTTTTATAATATTTATCGATTGATTGTAATTTTTTGTATAAAAAAAGTTTTTTATTTATATTAAAAATATATTCGGTTAATGATATTATCTTATAATTTGTAAATAAATCTAGTAATAAAATAACTTTAATAGTTGGTGTCACTTTTTCGAAAATTCTGGTTTTTTCCTTTCTCCTTCGATTTAAAACTAACATTAAGGTCATGAAAAACTAATGGAGTTAAAGGCAAGAAATCAGCAGAAATAATGCATAGGTAATGATACATATTATATGTACATTCAAAATTAGTCAAGCTTCAATTTGAAAAACAACAATAATAAAGTTCAGATGAAAATTAGCTTGTCAATCTATAATAATCGAGAAATTCAGTTAATAATGAAGGTGAAAAACATATAAATATGATTTATTTTTCATTCTCTCAAAAATCAAATTTGTTGGAAAATTTGCTTTGAATATTCAAATTAATCTTATAAAACGGTATTGTACGATGCGTATAATTAGATTTTAAACTGAAATCTAAAATTTGAACTGAATTTTACTGAAGTACAAATACCTGTAAAAATCTTTGACTTAGTGCATGTAGCACCATAATATTCACCATACAGAGTAGCTGTTTTATAGATTTTGAGCTAGGATCTCCTTGAATAATAATCGGACAGTTATTCTGCATAAAATTGGTAAATTTATAGAATAATTTGATTTTGTATTTAATGAGGGTTTTAATATTCAGATTTGGTTTGAAGTGAGTGAGTTATAAGTAAAATTGAGAGATTAACGGCATAGAAACTGTATTAAGTAGAAATTTAGTGATAAATCATCTCCTCATATCGTGTATGTCATGATTTGCTATGAAATGTTGTGATTGCCAATAAAAAATCGACCAAACGAAATCATTTATGAAAATTGAACAAGAAGATAGTATTGTTCTTATATCAATTACGTTGTATAAAGAATTAGAAAGTTTGACCGAGTTTGTTTATCGAAGAAGACCGATATTTTATTTAAATATAGAAATTTCCAAAACACTTTTGAAATAATTTGAGGTAACTCATTGAATGTCATGACAATATATAAATCAATATTATTTTAAAATATTAATATATGATACTATATGAGTATAATTTTGAAAAGACGATGAAAATTTAAGAGCAAAAAATTACTGGTTTTGGATAAAAAAAGGAATGTCTGGTCAATTTCATCAGATCTCACACAAGTTAAACTGCTTATTTAGATAAGATATCAAAATGAGTTCAACCTTTTCAAAGAATTCAAATAGTATCTTCTTTAACCTTTTTGGAGTATGGAACATGTACATTCTTTCATACCTTTTAAAAGAACATTAGATTTCGCTTTGAAATACAATGGATGTCACAATTTTAAATTGCAGTCAAATCTTCTCAATTATTGAATACTAACTGTTTCAAAAATTTATCCATTCATTTGTTTTCTTAATTATCAATTATTGCTTGATAATACATTATATGAGGGATGAAATATTCATTTCGCTAACAAAAATTGATAGTAAACATAAAACTCATTATAGTCCAATCTTTGATCCAAACAAATACTTCTTTCTTTTTATCTTTTTATATAGGAAATTTTCTCCTTTTCAATTTTGTGAAGCCATCATCGTTTTCATTTATTTCTCAGCATGGTTCCAAAGATACAGAACCCCTACATTAATGCCCTGATTCTTTCAATGGGTGCAATGGATGTAGGTTTTGGTATGGTTTACCCCGCCTATACTACTACCGCGATCTCTAAGAGATTTGATCTTTCCCTTACCGAAGAAACAATGTTCAATGTCGGTGGTATCTTATCTGCTATTGTTGGGTCACTGGCAATTAATGTTGTTGTCAACAAGTTCGGTAAGAGAGTTTCAGGATTATTCTCAGGTCTATATGCCACAATTATGTGGATCTTGCTTGCTTGCTCTGTAAACAAGGGCATGTTGTTCACATTCCGTTGCTTATCCTGCCTTTCCATTGGTCTTTGGACCACAATTGTCCCGGCATTTTTGTCTGAAGTCGCCCCAGAGAACAGAAAGTACTTTTTCGGCTTCGTTAACCAGATTGCTATTGCTTTTGGTTTCCTTTTTGTCACAATTATCGGTGCTTATCTCAAATGGGAAGTCGTCGCAGGTATCTGCGCTGTCCCGAACTTCATCATTGCTGTTTTGATCATGTTCATCCCAGAAAAGGAACAGCAAACAGCAGAGCCAGTCTCCTGGGCCAAAGTTTGCAGCTATCATAAGGCGTTGTTCATCGGATTCCTCTTCATGTTCTTCCTTCAGTTCTCTGGTGTCCAGCCCGTTATGTCTAACATGGAAAAGATCCTTTCCAAGGCTAATCTTTCAATCTCAATTCAAGTTATCGGTATTATCGCCTTAATTGTACAATTAATCACAACATGCATCTCCGCTATCATCGTCGATAAACTCGGTAACTACCTCTGCTGGATGATTTCTAGCGTTGGCCAATTAATTGCCTTCGTTTTGCTTTGCTTACATCAGAAGAAAAATCTTCCAACATGGGTATTCATTATTGGCCTCTTCCTCGAGCAGATCATGTACGGTGTCGGTATTGGTCCAATTCCATTCGCTTGTGCTACAGTTCAACTCGAAATGCAGTACCGTGCAACAGCTATGGCCATCACAGTTTCAGAGAACTGGGCTTTGACTGCCTTTGTCAACCTCATTTGGCCATACATGGAAAAGGCAATGACACTCGGCTATGCTTTCTTATTCTTCGCAGGAATGATGGTTCTTTCTATTATTTTTGGTATCGTCATTTTCGGAAATAAGTTGGACCAGGAACCACCAGCTCTCGATAATAAGGATTCCTCGGGTGATGGAGTCTCTATATAAGTCTATTATTTGCTATGTTTGTCTGACATACGCATCTTTTTCTTTCTCAGAAAAAATCAATTTTAGTAAAAAAAAGCGTAATTTTATTCAAAATTCTTTTACACTTTTTTATCATGCGCAAACTCAGTGAATAGCAGGATTCTTTAACTTTAAAATAGATATTAATAGAGATAACATCTCGTATGTTATTATTACTTGCTTTAATGAACTTCGATGCTGAAATAGTGAATATATATAACATGAAACATGCCTAAGAAGAAATTCAAAATTCTTGAGTATGAAAATTATTATTAGGGTGTCCCAGGACCAGTGGGCATTTCCAGATAGATATGACATTGGAAGCCCGAAATATATATTTCATAAATATTTGCCATTTCGATTGTGTATGATGCAATCAAAGCAAAATCTGGCCAACATCATGTGTTAATATGAAAACCCTCATAAAAAAGTTAATCATTGATAAATAGATTTAATTTTATTCAAACACAGAGAAAAAAAAATAGATTTTTTGGTTTCATTTCTTTGATGAAGTTGACTTTCCTGAAATTGGAGAAGAAAGTTTTTCTTTTGATGGTATTCCTTCTTCGTCTTCTTCTTCGCTGTCTTCGATACTTTCGATTTGTTTCTTCAGCCATTCGTCCCATTCTTTTGTTCTTGGCTGAGGAATTCCTAAATCTAAGTCTGAACTATCATCAACATTTTGGTCGTCAATTTCATCTTCTCCTGATGCTTCTTCTTCATCCACTGACTTAGAAACACTTTGTTTAACCTGAATTGGCTTCTTTTCTTCTTTCTTTTCTTTCTTTACGTTGTCAAAATCAGATGGTTCCGAATCCAAAACAGGTGAAGAAGGAGAATAATTGTGACTTGATCTGCGTTTGACTCTCTTTGGAGTATCATGAATGGAATCAATATCAACTAAATTAGCGATATCTTGGTCTGTTTGTTTCACTGATTCTTGTATATCACTCGAATCATCAGCAGTGAAAGAGAAAGGAATTTTTCCAACATTTGGTAAATCATTGTTTTTAGATGGAGATTTGTAAGCGATTGGAGAAATGTTCTTCTCGAAACTCTCTATCTCCATGTCGAATTCGTCATCTGTTTGCTTGGAATTGGACTTCTTTGGTGCTTTGACTTGTGGCTTCTTCTTTATTTCTTCATCTGATGAATTATTATCATTTGATGAATTCAGTTGTTGAAGATATTTGTTTATATCAATGTTTGATGTTTTTGGTCTTGTTTGTTTGGCACTGGAAGATGAATCAAAGTCTGTATCATCTGAATCTGAGATTCTGCACTTCTTAAGTCTTTCAATAACCCTCTTTGACGTCAAACAAGGAGAAAGAGGTCGAAATTCGTCAGATGAATCTGATGAAGATTCTTTCTTGAAAGAAGTAAGCTTCGACCTGGTTTGTTTTGGCTCGGATTCTTCATCAGAATCAGATAATTCTGTATATTTCTTGTTTCTATTTGACATAATTACTTTTACTAAGTTTTTGTATTCATCGTCGCTTGAATCATCATCTTCATGCTTGTGTTTTTGAGAAACTTTAGGTATTGGACGTTTCGTTTGCTTTTTATCTTTTGATTTTATTTTTTCTTCTGAACCTGAATTTTCGGAGTACGTATCCGACTCGGTATCGTATTTCTTATGGGTTTGAGGTGATAAAAGTTTTGATTTCGAATAGAGATCGGAATATTTTTGATAAATTTGTTCTGTTGAGTCGGAAGAATCGTCTGAAGAAGACGAATCGTCATAATATTGTTTGGTATATGTATTTTTGTTTGTTGTTGCATATTTTGAAAGTTTTGGCTGAGTTTTATCGAATCTTGAATAATGAAAACTGGAATTAGTGGTATATTTACTTGTTGTACGAGATGCATTAGATAATCTTGATTTGTAACTAGGATAAAAGTCATCACTTGAAGAAGAAATATCCGAATCCGAGTCATCTGAATCATTAATGTAATGTTTCGTGGAATAAGATGGTTTATAATGAGTCGTTGGTTCATAATCAGAGCTATCAGAGCTAGAATCATAGATAATATGTCGAGATTTTGTTCGGCCTTTCGAATATTTGGAGTGATTTGATGATTCTAAACTACTTTTGATGGCATCCTGAATGTCTATCATCTTCTTCATGATTTCGTTTTTTGTGGCCTCCCAACTCATACGAAGTGACCGTTTATTTTTTGTAAATTTTTGTCAGTTTTATTAGTCGCCCATTCCCTAAATATTATGCTGTTTATTGTATGTTTATTCGTTTTTGGATAAAATGTGGAAATTTTAAATTTAAAAACTCCCCATTTTCTCTCAAATTTTCAAAAGTTTTGTGAAAGAACACGGATTTATTAATAAATGATTTAAGCAGATACTATCAATGATAAGATATCGCATTGTTTAGATGAAAATTAGCATTTTTGTCAATATTATTGACTTTTTTAACGCAATATGAAAAAATATTAAGAAAAATAGAGAAGAAAATCTTACTTTCAAACGTCTAAAGATAAAGTATAAACAGTTCAATGTATGTAAGATATAGGAAAAGTTTAATATAAGATAAGAAAAGAAAAAATTGAAAATAAAATTAAGCCAAAAGCTTAGCAGTCATTGTTGACTCTTCAACCTTTCTTAGACGTCTGTGTGCGTTTGTTATACAAACAAATATGATAACACTAATAACAATCAAAGCAATCATGGCGCAAACACCAACAATTACGATTCTTCTTGTTATCATCTTTGAATTATTGTTCTTTGTTGGATGTGGAGTATCTGGGTCGATTGGTTCTGGACGAACATCTTCTGTTGGCTGAGGCGTTGGTTTTGGAGTAGGAGTAGGTGGCGGAACGTAGCCGTTAAGTCCGTAAGAAATAAAATCTGAGAAGTAGCTTACTTCAGGAACTTTAGAAGAGTAAATTGTGAGTTGATCTCCGATATCATTTGAAATGTATCTGATATATGTTGCCGGAACGTCTTGTACTGATGCTGTTTCGCTGGTAACTTCTGTGATTTTAGAGCCATATGCGTAAGAATAGTTCATATTAGAAATCATCGTAACATTTTGATTGACTCCGGGGAAAATGCATACTTCTTTGTTTTCTTTGGCCTTAAATATAGACCCATCCTTGACTTGAAATCTCTGTAAGCTCTTTCTTGACAAATAAATTTTATCTTGGCAAATCGAGTTAGTCATCATAAGATCCATTTGAAGTGTTGACTTTTCTTGTGTTGGAGTAACTGTTACACGGCCCTTATTTTTGAATAAGAAAGCGGCTGTTTTTTCATTGAAATTATAAGACTCTGTTGGCTGATCATTCTGATCAAGCTCCTGGAAAGTGATTTCATATCCTTCTACAATACCAAAATATGCAAATAATCTAGAATTTTTAGATTGATAGCAAATTGGTTGATTTATAGGGGAATTACTTAATCTGATGTAAGTGATCGTAGTATCATCCTCTATTATCTGGCAATCAGCACTGATTGCAGATCCGAGAAGTATTGAAAACATTGAAATTTGGCAAAAAGTTTTGACAGCGTCATAACCGCATTAAAATCTGTTTGAAAAAAAAATCGGTGAAATAATTCGATACATAAATGTAAATAATTTTACTGAAGAGAATTTGTATGGCTTTAGAAAAAATAAAATTTCAAACAAAGAAAAAAAAGGATCGCTCGTACCCGAGATAATTTGGAATTAATCTTACTTAACAAAACGCTTATTCATATCACTCAAGAATACGCGCGTCATTGATTGTTTTTGATTCCTAGGTAATCCATCGCTTTGAGGAATCTTTCCAATATACGTTTGTACGCCATTGAGTAGGATTTCGAATACTTTTGTACACTGATTTGTTGGTATATCTGGCAAACTTGTGTTGAATACGCAAACACCACCGATTGCAATAGGTTTCACAACGCTAATGTCGATTTGGGGAACATTCTTATCAGTGTTAGCAAAAATAACCTGGTTCTCGATAGTCTGGAATTTCCTTGGATTATCAAAAATGCATTGTTTCAAAGCTCTATCAGTAGAAAAGTATTCAACTGGTATTGGCTTCTCACTTGTATCGAAAAATACAACGTGTGATATACTAGTTGCTTCTGGGTTACCATAATTTGAACGCAACCTAATTGTTATAAGGTTACCTGTAAATTGTGGAACGAAACCATAACTATCTTTAAATAGAGCATCCCATCGCTGAAGATTGAGATTGTGTTCATAGCTTACTTTCTCAACAGGGTGTGAATCCAACATGGCAACTATACCAAAATCTCTATGTGTTTCTCCTTTAAATGCTAAGTTATCATTTTCATAGATTTCGAGGTCCTTTAATGCCGTTTCTTTGTCTATGCCAGAATTAATAAATCTAACGTAGCGAGCGTTTGAGCTTGTGAAAAACGTAATCTCTATCGGATCTTTTGCGTCAAAAGCGGAATGCCAAGCGAACATTTTCAGAGATTTCGAAGGATCTAAATTTGGCAGTAAGTATGTCATCTCTTTCGGATAAACAACCATATCAGTTATTTCTAGAGAAATCTTATCCTTGTCTAGAACAGCAATGTCTCCTGATGATATTTTAGGTACATTTCCCCAATTACTTAAAAATTTAATTGTAATTTTCTTTGTTAATGCGTAGTCGAGATTAAAATCCGAGTTCGATGTGTGGATTTCGGCTTTTTCAAGAGAAAGTTTGGAGTTTGTACTCTGCTCTTGTAAAATTTGAGTGATCTTCTGTGGGCTGAAAGTAGCTGATGCTGTTGCATGTTTTGGTCGAGAGGCAGCGCGTTTTCTTCCAAGAGCAACGATTATGGCTCCTTTTGAGGCTCTTCTAGTTAATGGTGCAAACATAGATTATTTTTATATTGAATATAACAATTTGAATTTTTCATAGAACTAAATTCGGCATTCTTATAAAATGATTAATACAATGGAGCACATATAAAATACAATCACTATTTTTTTGAGTATAATAGTTTCAAAATTTGAATATATCAGAATAATTCGAGTTTCATCATCCTCTCCAAAAATCATAATTAGTAATTTATTATAAGCAGATAAAATGAATTTTTGTGGAACGTCAAAATTTTGGCTTTACATCAGCATCCAGGATAACTTATTTATTATAATTATTCATAAATTCTAGAAAATTATAAACGCTCTTCTTTTCAAAACTTGCTATACTTTTGATAGTTCTTACCTTGCAAAATTTCCGTTAGTATATATACTATCCATTTTATCATTTGTTTTTTTAGTTTCAAGGGATTGGAAGCATTCAATTTTCACTTGAGACCAAAATTCAATTTCATTCTACGAGTGAAAAACTGACGTTGGTGACACTGTAACTATTTCTCTTGTAGTTTTCTGACTGTATATGAGAATGTGGTAGATTTCTTAAACCATTCACGGAAAAAAACGAAGGAAAAAGAAATAAAAAATCATTTCGTAAATCTTGATAAGCAAAAGGCTCTCAACCAAAAATTGTTGTTAATTAATTTTAATTTTTTTGATACAAATAAATCTTTAAAATTAAAAAAAATCAAATATAAAAATTCATTTTTTCTTTCCCTTCTTATTATTTTTTCGTACTTAATTTTCTATTAATAAAACTTAGTCGTCTTCTTCAAGGATACTTGGATCGAAGCCATCATCATCTTCATGTCTTCTTCCATACTTTCTGATTGTTGGTGGGTTAGACATCATCATTCCAGGGTTCTGCATCATTCCCTGAGGATTAGACATCATTCCAGATCCCAACATCATTCCGTCTGGGTTCGACATCATTCCTGTTCCCTGCATCATTCCACCGTGTCCGGACATCATTCCGCCATGTGATGGTGGCATCATTGAAGACTGCTGGGACATCATTCCGCTTGGCTGCGACATCATTGGCTGGCCTGACATCATTCCGTGCTGGTTTGGCATCATTGAGCCTGGGTTAGACATCATTCCGCTTCCCTGCATCATTCCGCCGTGTCCAGACATCATTCCGCTTGCCTGCATCATTCCGCCGTGTCCAGACATCATTCCACCGTGTGTTGGAGGCATCATTGACTGTGGTGGCGGCGGTGGAGCGTTGGACAACATCTGTGTGTGGTTGGACATGAATGAGGATGGCTGGGAAATTGATGGAGGCTGCTGTGGAGTCATCATTGAAGGAGGCTGTGACATGAGTGATGGTGGCTGGTTGGACATTAATGATGAGTGGTTGCCCATCATCGAGGATGGTGGTCCCTGCATCATTGATGATGTGTTAGACATCAATGGGGATGGATTTGTCATCATTGAGGATGGCTGTGGCATGAGAGATGAATGATTGGAAATCAATGATGATGAAAGCATTGGCTGGTTCTGTGATGGTGGTGGAGGTGGGTTGCCCATCATTCCCTGTGGCTGCATCATTGACTGCTGTGGCATCATTCCGAAGACTTGTCTTGGTGGTGGAGGTGGAGCAATCTGTCTTGGAGAGAGCTCTGGTTCGTCGTCTGGGAGTGGTGGAAGTGGACCATCGGATTCATCGCTTGTGTCATCATCCCAGTTGTATTCGACGTGCTGGCCAGGCTGTACGTACTCGTACTGCTGGTACTTCAGTCTCTCGAAGTAGTCGTCGCAGTCTTCGATTCTCATGAAGTTGATGAGTGCTTCCTCTGTGAGTGCGAAGTCCGGAGGAGCTCCTGGTTCTTTGATTCTCTGCTTGAGCTTGCCTTCGACGAATCTCCTGTCGACCTTGTTGAGCATGCGGATAAGACCGATCTTCTTGTCCAAGAGAATTGTCTTCATCTGGTCGAAACCGAACTCTAAGAGGAGCTCGAACAACTTTTTTGTGTGGTAGTTGGACCATGTTGTTGTCTCTGGGAACTGTGTGAGTCTCTCAACACGCATCTGGACAGATCTCAAGCACTGCATTCTGTCTGTGATCTCTGTGAAGTCACGCTTTGCAAGTTGTGTCCATGATGTGGCGCCCTTGCATGTCTGGACTTCCTCTGGAGCACGGTCGAACATTGTGATGTTCGGTGGGAGAATGACTGGGAATCTCTTGTTTTGCTTTATGAGGATCTGGTTGAGTGCGTTGACGAAGACAACAACTTGCTCTGTTGTCTTGGAGCAGAGTGCTGTCTTGACGTGCAATGAGATTGGATCGTTTGTGGAGAATGTGAAGTTCTTCATCATGTAGGCAACAGCGAGGAATTCTGGCTGTGACCAGAAATCGAACTGCTGGGCTGCAAAGATGCGGCCGCCCTGGATGATTTCGCCTCTCATGTAGTTGATGATGGCCTGGACTCTCTCATCGAATGGATCGAAATCGCCTCTCTCTGCGCAGATGATATCCAAAACTTCTGGATCCTTCTTTGTGTATCTTGGTGGGATCTTTGTGAAGTCAAACATGGACTTGTCTGAGAATGAAAGCCATGTCTTTGCAATGAGCTTCATTTCAATGACAGAGAGGTACTCGAATGCCTGGTCGTAGATTGTATCCTTGAGTGGCTTGCAGGCGTTGACTTCGATTGAGAGTTCGTTGTCTTCAGAGACAGCGTGGATCCACTTACCCTTGCGAGAGCAGAGTAAGATGTCATAGGAGAAGTCGAGGACATCGTGCTGGAGAACCTTGATAAGGAATGGGAATGTTGTCATGTTGATTGGTGACAATGCACGGAAGCAGAGAATGATGATGGCGTGGCAGAAGCGCTTGAGTTGGTTGGAGGAATGGCCCTGGAAACGCTCTGTCATCTGATCCCACTTGCCGTAGCCGAGGTTCCTGAACTCGTCCCAGATCTCGTATGCCTTGGATGAGTCGATGAAGCTGTCGTATGTATGGGAGCGCTTGATTCTTCTGCTGCTGCCATCATCGTCGACAACTGGGAACTTGGCGAGGAACTGCTCGTCGGATGTTCCGTCTGAGTAGCTTGGCTGGACTTCGAGTGGCTTCTCGAGCTTTGGAATGGCTGCGAGAGAGAAGTCGTTGACAACTGTGGAGAGTTGCTCGATGAGAGGAATGTCAGCCTTGATGGACATATCGGCATCGAGGTATGGTGGTGGAACAAGGACTGTGTTATCCTGGATTCCGTCGTTCTTTGTGGCATTTTCGCCGAGAAGGTCCATCCAAAGGCCTAACTTCTTCTGAGCGCGGATGAACATCTCGTGCTCGTAAGTGTTGTAGGTAATAAGTCTGAGAACATCGACTTTCTGTGTCTGGCCAATTCTGTGGACTCTTGCCTGGGCTTGGAGATCGTTCTGTGGGTTCCAATCTGGGTCGAAGATGATTGCTGTATCAGCAACTGTAAGGTTAAGGCCTTCTGAGCCAGCACGTGTAGAGATGAGGAAGACGAATGAATCTGGGTTCTTGGAGTAGCGGTCGATGGCATCTGCTTTTTCGATATCGGACATTTCACCGATAAGGAGTTCGTTGTTGTAGCCAGAGAGCATGCAGAACTCTCTGAGGATGTGGAGGAGCTGGACCTTCTGTGAGAAGATAAGAACCTTATGATTCTCGCGCTTGAGTTCTTCGAGGACCTTTGAGACCCAGATGAACTTCGTAGAAAGATTCCGGATAAGATCAATACGTGGTAAGTTGAGGCGCTTTGTGTAATATTCCTCAGCGCCTTCGATAAGGAATGGATGGCAGCAAACCTTCTGCATTGAAGCGCTTTCGTGGGATGTATCAACTGTTGACTCGTCGATCTGAATGCCTTTGAGACGCCACATTGAGTGGAGCTGAATAAGGCGGATGAGTTCACGCTGAATGTTTGTTAATGAGACAAATGCGATCTTTTCATCCTTTGGAGCGATTGTACGCTCAGCTTCAGCGAGTGTACGACGGAGGAGAAGTGGACGAATCTTGGAGCGAAGTTCCTGGAGTTTCTCTGGAGCAAGGGATTCGATATCGCCTTGGAGGAAGTCTGGGTCTTCCTCGAAGTCCTGAGGAGAAACGAAGTTGAGGAGGGTCCACAACTCTTGGAGAGTGTTTTGGACTGGTGTACCAGTGAGAATAATACGGTGAAGAGCGTTGAGGTTCTTCATAGCGTTATTCTTCTTGCCTTCGCTGTTCTTGATACGGTGTCCTTCATCAACGATGAGAACTTGCCACTTGATGTTGGAAAGGAACTCTGTGTCCTTAAGGAAAACATCGTAGCTGACAAGAAGGATGTTGAAGGAGTATGTGTTTGGAATTGGATTACCGTTATCGTCGAGGTATGGGAATTGGAATTCTCTGATCATCTTACGCTGCTGTGGACCAGAGTTGTATGGGATGTAGGAAAGGTGTGTCCACTTCTCGATTTCCTCGCACCATTGCTTAAACGTATTTGTACGAACGGTGATCAGGAACGGGCCATGCCAGTCAGTAAAGCGATCTAAGTAGGTAAGGAATGAAAGAACTTGGATTGTTTTGCCAAGACCCATCTCATCAGCGAGAATTGAACCGTGACCATCACGCCAGCATTGTGAAAGCCACTTGAGGCCCTGGAGCTGATACTCTCTAAGGGAGCCACCTTGATCGTTCATGATGATGTCGGACGGTGGGTCTGGAAGGTTATGTGGAATTGATGGTTCGTTAACATCAATGCGACGTCTGCTCTTTACGAACTTATCGAGTGTTTCCTGGTCAACGTCGTCCCAATACAAGAGGATATTTTGATCAAATGAAAAGCGATATAAGATTTCGCAATGTTCGCCATCTCTTCTGAAGGCAATTGGAACGATGTCCTTGAAGTTCTCATCAATAAAGATTTCAGCTTGTCTGAAACGTGAGAGATGGTAGTTTGCATTGTCAAGACATAATAATAAGGATTCTGGAATCCACTGGCAAAGGCAGTCCTTAGCATCCTGGAAGCGGACAAGGTACTCAAGGCCTTCTTTTCCAACGCGGGAGACGTAGATATGTTCGATCTTTGCCTCTTCAAAAGTAGCTGGTGCAGCTGCGAGTTGTTCCTCTTCTTCTTCGAAATCGTCGTCGTCCGTTTTCATGTTTTCGGTATGGCGCTCGCGACCTGCTGTTCTTCTTGGGCCGTCGCCGGTAGGCTGATAGTCTTCAAATGTTTCGGAATTGATTTCGCTTTCAGATGTTTCGGAATCATCTGTAAATTCGGCTTCCTCAGAAGATGGCTCTTCTTCTATGATCTCATCGTCATCATCGTCTTCGTACATGTCAAGGCGCTTTTTCTTCTGGAGGAATGGCTGTTGTGGAGGTGGGATTGGATAAACTGCTCTCGGCTGAACCGGAGGCATAATTGATTTAAAGAAGTTAAGGCGAAAAGCTGGATCTTGGAGATAATGCGGAGGAATATTCCTTTGGCGCATAACTTGTTCTACATAATTTGCAAATTGGGTATTCTGGCCGTACTGCATTCCCATCATTGGAGGCTGCATGCCCATCATGGGCTGCTGCATCCCCATCATTGGGGGCTGCGGGGCTTGTTGATATTGAAATGGGTACTGGGGGATAGATTTGGGAGGCTCTCTATCCATGACTGAATTTCAAAAAAAAAATATTTCTGAGGAAAAAAAATTAATTTGGTTATTTATACTAAGATATAGATAATAGATTCGAATTCTCTAAATTTCTAAAAAATAATTTGCGCGGGGTTTTTGTGTTTTTGTCACGTTTGCCGATGGATCACCTAATTTTTGTTTTTTCTTATTAGGTATTTGATATAGAATAAATAATTTTTGGCGGGATTATTTTATTACCCGCCAAACCGCCCTTCTCAAAAGTTGGGCCTCGTGTTTTTGCAAAAATCTTATAGGAAACTCGGCTAATATAGTAGAACCTATATTTTGATACTAGACCTCTGAAATTGATATCATACGTAAAAAATCTTGAACGTTAATTTAAAAAAAGCAATCATGATTAATCGGATAGCTTCTAAATATTACAGCTAAGATATATCATGAAGGATTACACATTTAAAACTATTCAAAGAGAACCCCTCAAAAAATCACAAATCGTCTATGTGCAAATAAAATAGTATTTAATATATACTAAAATGGCCAGGACAGAATTGCAAAATATCATGTTTTGTTTAAGAAATTTGTGAATTTCTATGAATTTTTCGATTTTGGAACGGGGGATAAATATTTGTGGCTTTAAGGAATTTCTCGGTCAAATCCCATTATTTGAAAATATTCTATACAATTGAGAAATGTGACAAAATTGAACAAAATTTTTGGCATCAATTCAGAGCGGCGTAATGAGATTTCATTATTTTAATCTCAGTTATTAAAACTATTTGTAAAACAATATGCATTCATGCAATAAATGATTGAATACTATTGAGTTTTCTCACAAATGATTTTGAAAAAAATGAGAAGATTCCAAACTTGGAGAAAATTATGGTTAAATGCAAATTTACAATATGTCGCACGCAAAATAAGTCCTTATCAATTAGCGAATAATTTTAAGAATCATTTTGATTAATTTTTGATAATTATCATTATCTAACTATGATATGAATATTTTTAACAAATCGTGGTTCTAAAGATAAAAATTGAGAAGAAGAATAAGAACAAATTTTTATTAATGTCTTGATTCGATTCATAATACAAAAATAATTGAAATTTCATTCAAAATTCAAAAACTTTTTTGAAAAAAAAAATTGAATATCAAGTGATAATGAAAGATCTTTTGGAGTACAATGCATTATTAACATATATTTTTCTTCAAAATTTTCCCAGAATTAAAAATTGCTCCATCCATTTTTGCATTTTTTTCTCGGTTTTCGTTGAAAAATAATTTTTTGGGGAAGAAAAAAGCAGAAATACCCATTTCGAAGAAGGAAGATGCAATAATAAATTGTACAATAAATACTTCGCGCTAAAATATATGAATATTTCCAGAAAACTCAGAAAATTCAATCCAAACCATTTAATTCAATAGAGATTTTTAATCATTACAATGTATAATGCGCTTTGTAATGTTTTGCATAGTATTGTGTTTTAATAGATTGCCTTGGCTTTCATATATGGCGTTATATTATTTCAATTTTTGTAATATGAATGTGAATGCTACCATTCTCACTTTAACAATATTTAAAATACTTAAATGGACTCTGAAGCTTCTCTTATTTGCACTATTTATCTTAATTTCTTTTGGACAAACCAAATTAATCTTTATCAACTCAATGATTCATTAAATATCTTTAAAATACGCTCTGTAATTACATACATTAGCTTGGCAGCTTGGATATTGCTTAATCAAGCATTCAAATTCATGGATTAGCTTTATTTCTCAGTGCTTATACCATGTATGTCTAGGGAAAATGGAGTACATGCAATATATTCAACTTCAATTTTTGACCTTTCTACTAAAGTTTGGTCGAGGCGTGTGGGCAATTTTAACGACATTTTTTAACGCGATACGAGCGTAAGTCCATAGAATGTGTTTTGAGGGAAACTATAAAAATCCAAAATAGAGGTAAGTGCGCCATTATTACCTGCGAAGTTACATGGAATAAATCGAAGAGTAAGTACAAGATGATCTTGTATCTTTCCAAGTAAATGAAATTTATTAAAATTAAGATGATAATATTCATTTATAGTATGTGTATGATGTGTTTTCAAAATTTCTTCAAATAAAATGCAATGATAATTTTTGAATAATTTTTTTCTTGTGTATATTTCATTTTTTATTAGTGAAAATATCATTACATCAATAAGGAAAGCACAATCCAAATTCATATTAGTTAAATTAATCTACGACCAAAAGCCCGCCAAATTTGAATTAAACACGTTTTTTGATAAAAGTGTCATTTATGATTGTTGCATTTAGGGATAGTAGCCAATTTCGGTACCAATCTTGAAAATGCCTCGCCATGCCCGCAACATGGAAGAGAAGTATTGGTCTGATATTGAACTATCAATCAATGCAAACTGAATCACCTTGTCATGTTGCTCCACAGATACAGCAGTCTGAGTCCCTCGCTTGGTCATGTTGCTCCACAGATACAGCAGTCTGAGTCCCTCGCTTGGTCATGTTGCTCCACAGATACAGCAGTCTGAGTCCCTCGCTTGGTCATGTTGCTCCACAGATACAGCAGTCTGAGTCCCTCGCTTGGTCATATCACACCAGATAAATAAAAGTTCAGCTTCACAATACTTACCTGCTCTATTATGTGATTTTTTCCAACTATCATATGTTAGTTGTTGTATTGAAGTTGAGTATGAAAGAATAATGTTGCAAGATTTCTCACCAAATAAAAAATCATTAAAGAACATTTTATTCTTTGAAAATGTATTTATGTTGAAAATAATGGAAGATGTTATTCTTGTTAGTTAGTTTACGAAGTTCTTTTGGAAGAAAATTGTTGAATATCTTTATTTTGAATGGGAATGAACTTAGGAAATTCACCACGAGCTCTTGAATAGGCAGAATTGTAATGGATGATTAGCTATGATGGGATTATACGATGTTGGTTTGTTCTAGAATGATTAAAAAGTTTTCAGGTAATGTGCTGATGCATTACAAAAGATGGAAATTATTTAAATAATAGCATAGTTTAATAATATTCAATTTAACTGATTAAATATTTGAAAAATTATCTAATTAGGATTTTTTTAGTTTGAAAAGTTAATTTTAGGCATAGTGTATAAAATAAAAAGCATCTACCGTGTCAGAAAATCGAAAAGTTTTCCAAAAAATCATAAATTTCAAATTTTGAAATAAAAATTGGTACTTTTTAATATGTAAAATAAGAAAATGTATTTTTTTGAAAAATTTAGATAAAGTAGTTCTCTTTGTATCTAAGAGGAGTGAATTTTTTTTTCTTTAACAAGATCTGGAAACGAACAATTGGAATTTATTTTATCAATATCAGGAGGAAAAGTTAAGATTCAATATGGGATTGGTTGGGTGTAAGGTAGAGGAACTATTGTGTGATAGTTGATGCTTAGAGTTGAAATTGAAGGAAAATAAAACGATAAAAATAAAATGAATACTACCATGGACCCGTCAGTAATAGGTAGTGAAGAAAATAAATCATCCTTACCTCATAGAACAACTCATCCTTACAGCAGTCATTGACTTATCCTTACCTCAGACATTGACTCATCCTTACCTCAGTCATTGACTCATCCTTACCTCAGACAAAAAGTCATCCTTACCTCAGTCATTGACTCATCCTTACCTCAGACAACAACTCATCCTTACCTCAGACAAAAAGTCATCCTTACCTCAGTCATTGACTCATCCTTACCTCAGACAACAACTCATCCTTACCTCAGTCATAGACTCATCCTTACCTCAGACAACAACTCATCCTTACCTCAGTCATTGACTCATCCTTACCTCAGTCATTGACTCATCATTACCTCAGTCATTGACTCATCCTTACCTCAGACAACAACTCATCCTTACCTCAGTCATTGACTCATCATTACCTCAGACAACAACTCATCCTTACCTCAGTCATTGACTCATCCTTACCTCAGACAACAACTCATCCTTACCTCAGTCATTGACTCATCCTTACCTCAGTCATTGACTCATCCTTACCTCAGTCATTGACTCATCCTTACCTCAGTCATTGACTCATCCTTACTTCAGACAACAACTCATCCTTACCTCAGTCATAGACTCATCCTTACCTCAGACAACAACTCATCCTTACCTCAGTCATTGACTCATCCTTACCTCAGTCATTGACTCATCATTACCTCAGTCATTGACTCATCCTTACCTCAGACAAAAAGTCATCCTTACCTCAGTCATTGACTCATCCTTACCTCAGTCATAGACTCATCCTTACCTCAGTCATTGACTCATCCTTACCTTAGTCATAGACTCATCAAAGAGAGAGACTGAGTGTTGGATGTCAAAGAGAGACTGATTGTTGGATGTCAAAGAGAGACTGAGTGTTGGATGTCAAAGAGAGAGACTGAGTGTTGGATGTCAAAGAGAGAGACTGAGTGTTGGATGTCAAAGAGAGAGACTGAGTGTTGGATGTCAAAGAGAGACTGAGTGTTGGATGTCAAAGAGAGAGACTGAGTGTTGGATGTCAAAGAGAGACTGAGTGTTGGATGTCAAAGAGAGACTGAGTGTTGGATGTCAAAGAGAGACTGAGTGTTGGATGTCAAAGAGAGACTGAGTGTTGGATATCCGTCTCTTATTATATAATTATTTCACATATTAATTAATTTATACCCACGAATAAAATCTTTGATAACTCAATGAATACTTATCCAAATCTGAATCTACACCGGCCAGAGATTCATATTTCGTTGCCAAATCGCGAAAATATTCATTATTGACAAAGTTATATCTATAATAGTATTGAACTAAAATATGGTTTTGAAAATTTAATATAATAAAATTATTTTGAATTTAAATGTAAAGTTCTGGTAAGGAGTTAAATTAAGAAAGAATAATTGAGTAATTGAGTGATATTTGATAAGTTAGGGAGAAAATTTCACATACATTGAAGTAAATATATGTTATTGCAAGAGTTAGGATGAGTCTATGACTGAGGTAAGGATGAGTCAATGACTGCTGTAAGGATGAGTTGTTGTCTGAGGTAAGGATGAGTCAATGACTGAGGTAAGGATGAGTTGTTGTCTGAAGTAAGGATGAGTCAATGACTGAGGTAAGGATGAGTCAATGACTGAGGTAAGGATGAGTCAATGACTGAGGTAAGGATGAGTCAATGACTGCTGTAAGGATGAGTTGTTGTCTGAGGTAAGGATGAGTCAATGACTGAGGTAAGGATGAGTTGTTGTCTGAAGTAAGGATGAGTCAATGACTGAGGTAAGGATGAGTCAATGACTGAGGTAAGGATGAGTCAATGACTGAGGTAAGGATGAGTCAATGACTTAGGTAAGGATCATTCCATTCCACATATATCACAACACCTACACCTTACACAACCCACAAATCATCTTCAAATTTCTTTTCAGAACTTCTTTTAAATGAGCATTTTTCAATCAACAAACATCCCTTCTTTTGCCCGCACAAAAGGTTTCGGATGTTATATTGTTCCAGAAACTCATGAAACAAAGTTCTAAATGAAAATCCACGGAATGAGCTTGTTCAATAGCATTATCAATAAAAAGAAATCTATGGTATCGCCCGCACAATACCAAAAGATTCCATTTTGTAATGAATGATTACTATGATCCAAGGATGGTTCCGTAGACTTGAAAATTTTAAATTGGAGGTTTAATTCAAATTTGGCGGGCTTTTGGTCCTATATTAATTTAACTATAGGGTGTCCAAAGGTGTGTTTAGCACAAACCTGAATACTGCGAATAGAAATAAACAAGTTACATATATATAAAGTTTATTTAAATATAATCACCATTGGATTCAATCACGCGTTCGCAGCGATCGATCCAGGCTTGAAAGACACGCTTTAAATCATCATGAGAAAATTGCTCAAATTGCTCTCTTACAAAATTTTCAAGATCATCTGGACTCGCGAATTCGCGTCCTTCAGCTCTCTTTTTTAGCGTGCCGAATAAATAAAAGTCAGAGGGTGCAATATCAGGTGAATAAATTGGGTTTGGAACAACTTTGACATTGTTTTCCACCAAGTAATTCATTACCTTATGACTTTTGTGAACTCTTGAATTATCAAAATGAATTGCAAACTTTTGTTTTTGTTGTTTGGATTTCTCAAACTCATCAGAATTGATAATTTGAGTAAGAACATTGTCAATTAGATACTGAGCATTCATCGTATTAGGTTTTTGAAGAATATCAATTGCGATGATGCCATTCACGCCCCAAAAAACCGACAACATCATCATTGGTGTGTCAATTTTTTTCTTCGGGAATGTTTGCGGATTTTCATCCTTCGGGATCCACATGATTTTGGCTTCTGTTGCATATTGAAACCAAGACTCGTCCCCTGTTACTAAAAAGCGAAACTTCTTGGATTGATACGCACGCAATATAGAGAGGAGCTCTTTCGAAGATTGGACTCTAGATTTTTTTTGAACTGAATTAAGGTTGTGCGGAACCCAACGTGTATACGCTAGTTTGTAGTTCAAATAATTGTGCAGATAATAACTGACTGTTGTACGTGGTATCTTTGTCATCTCCTCTATCCTTCTGAGTGATGCTCTTGGGTCTTCATCTAGCGCTTGAAGAATTGCTTTGATTTTTCTTTGATCCGGCGATTTTTTGTCAATTTTTATGATGGGCGCCTTTTTGTTCATGAAGTGATACATCCTAACATGATACGTTACAGTGGAATAGCTAGGAGCATCCATACCGAAGCATTTTACCAATGTCTCGTAGATTTTTTACAGTCTTTGCATTTTTTTGCAAGAGCGAGGATGTTTTCTTTATGATTCATTAAAAAAATGAAAAAAATCCCGCCAAAATTTCCCGCTAAACCGCCTCTTGTCTCAAAATTCATTTTATATCCCGGCATGGCGCCAAAATACAACATACTCATCATATACATATATTCATATTTTTTATTATATATTTATAATCAGCATATATCTCCTTTAATAGTCTCATATAGAGCGCTGTGCTAAACGCACCTTTGGACACCCTATAATATGAATTTGGATTGTGCTTTCCTTATTGATGTAATGATATTTTCACTAATAAAAAATGAAATATACACAAGAAAAAAATTATTCAAAAATTATCATTGCATTTTATTTGAAGAAATTTTGAAAACACATCATACACATACTATAAATGAATATTATCATCTTAATTTTAATAAATTTCATTTACTTGGAAAGATGCAAGATCATCTTGTACTTACTCTTCGATTTATTCCATGTAACTTCGCAGGTAATAATGGCGCACTTACCTCTATTTTGGATTTTTATAGTTTCCCTCAAAACACATTCTATGGACTTACGCTCGTATCGCGTTAAAAAATGTCGTTAAAATTGAACCGCGCCAAAATCTGTAACATGGCACTTTTGTTACCGAACTTCTCAATTTAAAATAACATTTTTTCGACTACCCATTAACTCAATGATATATTCGATAATTTTTTTTCTCAGCTCATCGAAAATTTGAAACATTATCAATAATTTCAAAGAATAGTTCGAAATGAGTACTATTGAAGACTGTGTCAAACAAGAAACCACATCTTCACATAGCAGCCCAACTCAATCAATGACTTATTCACAGTCAATGGACTTTAATCAAGAGAAACAAACAGAATTACCGCTTGATCAAAGATCAAAATCGTCAGAACAATTTATGCTCCCTCCTAAAAGAGCAAAGACATCACAAAATAGAAGGTTTACAAAATCAGATCTATTATTCTGTAATATTAGTAGATTTGGACGAGATGGACCAAAAATTACAATTGGAACTACACATTACAGAATAAAACTTCCAGATGATTTTCCAGGACCTGGCCAATATTACATCAATGATGCAGATTCAAGCACAATTAGATATTCAATTGCACGATCAGATCCAAGAACTTATTACAGAAGCGAAACTGCTAATGCTGATTTGCCAAACATAAGAACATTCCCAGAACGCAAACCAATAAACATTGGAAGACGAACCGGAAGGTCATTTTACGAGCTACCGGAAACCCCAGCACCTAGTTTCCTTCCTCCATCAACATTAGCATCTAATAGTCATAAGATATCATCACGCAGGCCACAATCCCCTTCAAATATACCAGGACCTGGTGAATACAATCCAAATATGAATAACCTTGGAAGACAACCAGCATACTCAATTCCAACATATTGCATAAGAGATTCATGGCTTACTGATAAAGAGAAAATGCCAGGACCAGGCACATATAACGTATCGAGAAATTATGTTGAACCCCACAGACATTCTTACTCGTTCGGACAGAAGTCAACCAAAAATGCTGCAGCAAGACGTTCATTTGCATTCGGAACTTATGTTTTCTCTGTTCCTGAAGAAATTGATTTGGATGAGGCTAATCAATATATCCACGACCATCCAGAGTTTAAGAATTTCGTAAAAGACATCATGAAATGGGTTATTAGTCAAAAAATGGCCAAACCACTCAATGAAATTAGAAGTAAGTTTTTGGCCGAGAGAAGGGAGTACGAAGCCTCAAGACAGAAGGATATGCCATTCAAACTCCGCGAATTCAAAGCACTTGTCGCAACATTATAAGATATTTTTATTATATCTCCAATTTCCAAATATATGAATAGATATTGCTTATCAAGAATCAAACCTTTCATTTCAGATCTTTATTTTGTTATTATATAAAAAATTAATATTCGAAATTAAGTTGATATTTAGTTTCTATATCATATAATAGAGCTATAAATAGCAACTCAACTAATGCTAGCTATGTCAACTTTAATATTTCAATTTCATTCTGTTTGTCCCAGAATTTAGTTGTAGATTAGTATCTTCACTAGATTTCACTCTTTGTTCTCACACAAAATATAGGTTTGTTGACCAAATGATAGTATTTTCCCACTTTTCCCTGCGTAATCGCATGCAACTCTGATTTATTATTAAACTAAAATTCCTAATATCGCACCAGAAAATGCAAAAAGCTTCCTGAGACATCTAATTACAAGATACTCTCAACAGAGCATGTTCTACTTATTATTTCAGTTTGATTGCTTGGCCTCTTTCTATTTAAGAATAGCGTCGACAATCTTCCTCTTAGTTTCGTCATTTGGAGACAAGTAAATTTTCAATTGATTTTGATACGATTGCATTGAGTCAAGTGAGGAGACTCAATATTTTTTATATGAATATATACCGAAAGTATCCAAAGGAACAACAAAAGATTCTAGCACTTAAAATTCTCTGAGAAAATGTGGTCCAATAATGAGAGATCTCTAGTGACTTACACACAAAGTATTAATTTCAAAATGAAGCACATACTTCAAATTTAATAGTAACAATTGAAACTAAAATCTTCAATGTGAACTATCCAAGAATCAATTAGTGAAAAATTGCTTCATTGTCCTCATAAAACACATAAGAGAAGACGAATTAAATACATTGCAAAGGAAAAATTATCGCATCAAATACAACTTCATCCAAGATTCTTCATTTGGATACATTGAAGTATCCTACCACAAAACTCATTTGAAACATTATTGAGCTTTCAAAGACTTGTTAAAAAGTTTAAATTGTATTACCCAAATAAAATTTATTTTAAGTTATGGCTTATAAGCAATAACATCAATTTCAACCAATTTGTTAGCTGGAAGTCTTCCTGCTTCTATGCATGTACAACATGGCTTGTGCTCGCCAAAATAGTCGACATAAATCTTATTAAATTTCTGGAAATCATCCATACTTGCGAGGAAAACAGTAATCTTGACAACATCAGTCTTTGTATAACCTGCGGCCTTAAGTTCAGCATCAACAGATTTCATGATTAATGTAGCTTGACCTTCAATGTCTTCTGGATTTGGACCTCCATGTGGATCATTTCCGATAATTCCTGATGTATAAAGGAAATTACCACAGATACGTGCTTGGCAATATGGTCCAATAGCAGCTGGAGCATCTGGAGTACTAACAACAACAGACATTTAGTTAAAGTGAGGTGAAAATACTTTAGATTGCTTTTTAATAAGCAAGAATCAAAAAATATAAATGGTAAGACTAGTGATGCCTAAATCTACTTGCGATTATAGATTTTGCCAATTGAATGGAATACGTTAGACTTTCTGTTGATTTCTCTCCATTCAAAATTTCTCTTATCTCAAAAATTTGTTATATTCATTGTCACATTGTTTGTAGTGTGATATAATGCAACATATAGATTTCATTTTATGATGATATTTTAATTGAAAAATCCCGATCAAACGGTTTATATTTTACTTTATGGCATTATAAGTAATATTTTTAGGCTAAGTTTTCAGAATTGAAAATTTTGAATTTATATTGAAATTGAATTTATTCAAATTTATGATAGATTTATCCAACCAATAATGCATAATATATACATTGCATATTAATTATTGAATTGTTGGTTTTAGGATATACCAATGCCCAATGATATCTTCCATTTTTGGAAATTTGAAACTGGATTTCAAAATTATTTCTTAAATGTCCAAGGCATATTAATCACATTAATGTTATCTTAATCATTCACATGATTCATTTATCGACATTTAAACAATTAATTAAACTATCAAATCATTAAAAATTCTATAATGATTAAATCATACGTATCATCCGCAAATAAGATGCATTATTTCTCATATTAAAAATCTGATTGTTTTCGATTATTGATGAAATTGGTTACATTTTGTATAGTTAATAACTATGAAAAAGTTCAAAAATCATTATGTTAGTTCATTTGCGCTTTTTAAACCCATAATTATCTATGATTCAATAAAATCAATTCAAATTTCAAAGGAATTTTTGAAATAACACAACACATATGACATCCGGATTATTATTTTATCAATATCAAAATATTATTTTATATATAAATTTCAATATTTTAGATACAATTTAGGTTAGGATCACCAGAAAGCTTAGTAGCAAGTGTAATTCTTTTTCACTAGAAAAGCCCAGCATAAATGAAAAATACATTAACAAATATTGAGCTAGAGAAAAGTTTTTACATAGGATTTCCCGGATTATTTCTTTCGATGATCCAGAATTAATCTTTGAGGTAAGAAATTTTTGTTAGTTACTTCGATAAAGATAGGATTTCAATTTTCATCCTGAAATGCTATTCAAGCAGGCTTCAATATAACAAAGACAATCAGTACTTCAAGAATACTCCATCAAATGACTTCATCAGTGCACAAAAACTTTTTTCTATTAACTTGACTTTAGTTTACCGCAAAATATTTAAGCTTTCGAACTAAAATGACCATTTACTCTGGATTTGCATCTCAAATAATCTCCATAACCTTGTCGAATGACATTTATTTATTCGCTTTGTCCAATAATATTTCCGGATCTGATTTCAAAATTGAAATAAATAAAAAGGGTAAACTTACTGATCAAATATGTACTGCTGAAGTAAGGAAGTCACTTTGGAAAATTGTTTTCACTTTAGGAGAATATAATTTTCCATTTGGAAATTTTAAAAAGTGAGACGCGCAGGATTCGAACTTTTTTAAAAGTTGATTTAAATGAATTTTAGTGTGGAATATAAGGATAATATCATATTTAAAATAAGAATATACTAGTTTAGGTGGTATTAATTTTTTCGATAAATTTGAGAGTATGTACGTTTAGGGCATGAAAAGTGTCAATTCGCTCAGCGAAAGCTGAGCTAGCTTCGTTCTCGAAAGAATAAGGAAGGAGTGAAGGAGAATGATACAGAAGTTGACACATTCATATCATTTCAACAAATTTTGATCAAATTGAAATTCAATGAAATTCAATTCACTTCATATCCTTCAGTCAGTACATTGATATCCTTCTGCATCACAATGATAACTCGGGCATCAATAGTTCTACAACTAACTCAGAAAAAACAAGATTATTACTTCCTGCTTACAGCTTTTAAAAAGTTTCGATGATAAAAATCACTCTACTCTCGTTTATCGACATATGGTGATAGTAGGTAAACATATTCTTATCGATATTAATAAAAATATTTGTACGAAAATCTTATCCAATTAGAGAGTTATTCATAAAGTATACGATAATTATAATTATTTTATCTTTGTTTTATCTTTGAATAAACATTTTAATTTAAATTGCATAATATTTTTTGGTTGAAAGACAGGAAACTTAGTTGAGTTTGTATTATTTTTATCGTTTAATTCATCGTATCAGTGAGTGATCCAGATATTTAAGATATTTAGAAAAAAAAATTATTAATTTGATTAACAAATTTTAATCAAAATAGCAAAAATCTATTTGATAGCTGTAAACAAACAATAATTTTTATTTCAAGCAAAATCACTTATTTTCATCTAAACGTATAAAATTGTCAATTTTATGAAAATAAATTGAAAATCTCATGAAATGTAAAGGAGAGTAATATTTTTCAATTTTCTTTTTTTCTTTGTCTCAAATATTTTCTGTTGGGAATTTTCTTGTTATCAAAAAATAATTTTAATATTTGTTTATTTCATTACATACAATAAAATTTTAAAAACTCTATTTCTTCTCAAGAAAATTTTTTCCTTCATATGAAGAAACATTTTGTTCTCCATTTGATACTGAGTCTAAATCTCGATTTTTGAATTTTCTTCTTTCCAAATTTCTTTTTTCCAAATTAGAAGTTTAATTCAAATTTTCAATAGTTTATATATTTTCTCAAACCGGATTTTCTCACTTTTTAGGGATTTTCTCTCAAAATATACAAAAATAGTAATACCAATACATGTGTCTAATATACTTTAAAACCATCGTGACAAAATTCAAAAACGAAGAGTTCTTCTCTCCAAATTTTTTTCAAAATCAAAAAAATGAGATAAAAAAGTACGTTTGGAAAATTCATTTTTAGCATTTTAGGAATTTTCTCACTTTTCTTCCAAATTGACATCCTTAGCTGAAGAGCATTAAAAAAAAACGATGATCTGTATTTGAATCATACCAATAACAAACCCTGATTTCATCAATTACTCCCGATTACCAAATTGATTTCATTATTTTTAATCTTAAATGTCAATTTTTATGTTATTTTTTTGACAAATTCTTTCATCATGAAGTCGAATGAGTATTACAATATTTTAATGAGCGCTTATTCGAGTGATGACAGAATTGATATGCAGAAGCTTGGTATCGACAGCGACTTAGCAGAGCATTTTTCGAAATTTAAATTACAAAAAATTCAAATTAAAAGGAAAGAACTTGATAAAAAACCGGATGATCAGAAACGATCCTTTCTAATAGAAAAGCTCCGCTTAAGTGAATCGATCCCTTACGATCCTTATCTCGCTGTAATTAAAAAATTTGCTTCATCTAAGGTTGACCCGCACAATAATCAAATGTTTCTAATATTTGCCCCTTTTCTTACCCGTTTCGTTGCGAATTTTGCGATAAACATTCTAAATTGTATGAATTCGGACCCATCATCAAATTCGACCTTGATAAAAGAGATGCCTTCGATACAAGACGTCGCATTCAAGTACGTTAAATATGGCGGTAATGACATTTTAATAATACTTAATGATCTTTATTTTAATTTAATTCCTTATTTAAACGTTTCCAATGACAGAACATCGTTTCTCTATAACTCAAGCGAAATGATTACATCAGCCACTAACGTTTTGATTAACTTACAAGTCTCAAGAGATTGTTTTTTCAGCGGAATTTTAGATTTTATTATCCAACTTATTTTCCATTCATTAACCAATGCGAACTTTTCCGGGATATTCGAAACAATTTACGATTCCGCTTTTACATTAGTATCACAAGAAGAAGTTTTCCAACAATTAACAAAATTACAGAAATCCAACATAATTATTGCAATTTCATTACTCTACAGGCAAATGGATGCCGATAAATACGAAGAAAAAGCCATGCTTTTATACAATTGCTTATATTTTCTTCCATTAATTTTTCGAACAAAAGAATTAGACATCCAACCAACAATTGACGTCGTATATGTGTTTCTTACAAAATTCCTTACAAATATGGTCGGCGATCTTCCTTCTTTTGAAGGCGAAAATATAAATGTACCTGAAATCGAAATGAATATGATATACATTCTTTCAAAGAACTTCCAAAAGCCATTAGTATCTCCAGAATTACTCAAAGATTACGAGAACGATCCAATTTATCTAAATGCTCCGACTTTTTACTCTCAATTTTACTTACAACTCGTAAGTAAGTTCCGCCAGATATTTCTTATGAACCAGGACTTCTTTAAAGGATTCGCATCACAACTTACGCCTCAACATTACCCACAATTGTTCTCTTTCTTACTTATGATTATTAATAAGGCGAAAGATGGGGCATTTAATTTATTTCTGTACAAATCTAAGTTCATTGAGATAATGTTTAACAGTGCGCTGCTCAACAATTCATTTTGCGAGCATTTAAATGAAAATAATTTGATTTATGATTATTATTATCAACTTCAAGAGATGATATTCAACTTTTTAGGTAACAGCAATATTGCTAAGGTCATATACATCACTCTCTCCAAGGTAATAAGCCAAAGACAGCCGAGAACAATCAAATTTTTGTTAAATACTTTGACACACTCAATAATCATCAATAAAATCAACCTTTCTACATTCACATCCGTAGATCTACTCGAATCATTACGTCTTGCTGAGTCTTCTTTCAAAATTTTCCTGACAGAAAATGAAAATAAAGAAGTTTTAGAGGCAAGAACGAGAATTATCGCTTTTTATGAATTCTTGTACCTCAAAATTAACCCTGTTGTCATTTTTTCTCAGCCAAAACCAACAATGCACCTTTTAAGCCTATTAAATGAAGATGAACTTGTAGATACTGTTGTTAGATGGATAGAATTCGCGTTTATGTCATGCAAAGCAACATTTACATTAACTGAAAGATGTTTAAACCTCTTGAAAACGAGAAATGACCAAAATTTCCTTTTGAAATTCGTAGAAATCTTTGCCAAATCATGTAACAACAGTAAGAATGATATCTGTAAATCAATCATGCAGGCAAAAGCGTTCACAGTAATCAACCAATTAATATCTCAATATACTGAAGTGGAAAACTATGATAAAACTATAGCATTGACCTTAGTTCAGTACCTACTACAGATAATATACCATGTTTCCCTAAAAGATGCTGAAGTTGCCAAGGATTTGAACAATTCTCCTTTTGGTATTTTTCAGAAATTGGCGGTTGTTGCAAGAAAACTTGAAATTAGTGATGAAATAATTAATTTCTTGTTTAGTTATATAACAATGTCCAACGAATGGACTAAATCAAACGCCGAAATTGTAAATCGAGGTCCATTGTATTTTATTACGAAATGGACAATTGGAACTGAAAAATTTCCCGAAGTATCTTCCCTTTTATATCATTTGATTGAGTCTTCCATTCCAAATAGATTTCAATGCTGCCAAGCATCAGTTATCTCTCATCTTGTTGAACATATAGCAACATATGAGAACATAGATTCTGCCTGCAACTGCTTTTCTTTGATAGGAACTTCTTTTTTCCATAAAAGAGAATTAGAAAACTCTTTGAAAGCAATTGCTGCTGGCCATACTAACTCTATTAACTTATTTAGACTGTTAATAACCATTTTAGGTGGAACAAATAACATTCCTCCTTCTTTTATCCACTTATATGATGTTGACAACAGTTACTTTAAAGCAGCAACGATGAAAGTTCTTTCTCCAGTTACTATAGAATTTTCTGCCGATAATTCATTATTCAATGAAGGTAATTTGTTGAATATTATTTACCAAGACCTTCAAATCTTAATAGATTACAAAGATGGATCGCATACGTTTTCTGCCGTAGTTGATAACTTGCTTGTTCAGTCGGTTTCGTCCTCAAAAAGAACTTCTTTCGACACATGGCTCAAATACAAGTTGGAATTTACAAAATCTGACGCTAGGCTCTATATAAATAATGAATTACTCGAAATTACGAGACTTCCGAAACGTCCGATTAAATTAACAGATATCGAAATCAAATTGAGCCATTGCGACTTCGAATCATTGAAAGTAACACAGCTTGGCTTCCCAGAAAAGGTTCTCGCAGAGTATACAGCGAAATCTGTTCACGATAACGTGATTTACAACACTGTTGATTCGAATATGCAGGGATACGTCAATGGTTTGGTAATTCCATACAAGCCATCGATATTTGGATCGATCAAATCTTACGGTGGTCCATCGATTTTCCTTCCAATTATCACTGCAGCGAAAAATTTTTCAGATCCGAAACTTTTAGTATCATCTTTCTTCGGTTTATTATCACCATTGATATCAATACGAAGCCAATTATTCATAGGAAAGAACTTTTTCGCTTGTTTGAACCAAGTTTTGAAACAAATTGACAAATCTTTTATTCCTGAAAATCTTCTTCAATATTTCATATCAATGTATGAAACATTAGAAGGTTCTCTCAAGAAAGAGTTCGAAGAACAGATCTTAAAAGACTTTTCTTTGACAAAATTGATTCCTTCTTTAATTCCGGACATTTATCTCCGGTTTCCAAACATTTTGTCAAACTTCAAGACCTTTGGGAAGTTCTTCAAGGTCTGTGTTTACTCTTTCAAAAACGATGAACTCGATATCAACTTCGCAAACTCACTTTACACCATTTTTATTATGATGAAAGAGGTCCAGTTCAACATAGAAACAGATCTACCTAACATTTTCATTTACGGAACCTCTCATCAAAGTCCATTGTTGTCTTACGTCTGCTTATCGTTCATTACAAGGTATATTTGCATTGAACCGGACTTCATGATCAATTATCTCGCAAAATTTGGCTATTTCCTCCCTATTTTTGCCAATATCCATAATCCATGTCATGAAAATCAATACCTTCTCCTCAAAATAGCAGCCATAGTGTTCAACAATGTCGGTAAAGGTGAGATTGTCAAGCAATTCATCAACTTTACTTCATCAATTGTGTTTGAAACATCAAAACCAGTCCAAATGTTCGATTTTCTTTGCACAATGATCAAAGAAAATAATCCTGAGAACCTAAGAATTGATGTTTCCTTCACAGATGACGTTTGCCAGGTATATTATCCACAATTTTTGCCAATTATCTGTCACATGCTTCAGAAAATCCCATATGAAGATGCCTGCAACAAACTACGTATAATAAGGGACTGTTTTCTCACTGGTTTTCCAAAAGTTTTGACTTTCGTATTTTTCACGGCCATTATTTACATTGCGAACTTTACAAAGGACATGACATGGCTCCACATTCTGTTCCCCGATTCAAAAATTGGCCAGGAAATTTATCAAATTATCGCTTTAATTAACGTTTCTATGGCAGTTTTCGGGAAACAGTTTGCTGATGCATATTATGAGATCTGTACTTATATCTTTGAGCAGAAGGTTTTCTCCCATTTCATATTGTCTTCCTTATTATATAATATGATCAATGTTCCTTCATATGAAATCACTGAGCATATCGATCCTGATAAGCTAGAATTTATTGACTTCATGAGATTGATACCAGATGTGCTGAAATCCAACAATAAAAACACAATGGATTTCTTTGCAGCTCCAAAGTCACTTTTGGATGCCATAAAGCTTACTGTTGACTCTATTATCCACAGTAATATAGAAAGATTCGGTTCTGATACAATTTGGCTCTTATTTAGTAACGCATTGTTATATTTGAACGAATATGAGGAAGATTATGTGTCGCAAGAGATCAGAAGCTTAGTTTCTAATGAAGACAAGTACATTTGGCTCAAAATTGCTTCTCTTTACATATATCATACTTTCCAAAGTTCTCATAACTCCGAAGATGCCTTGAAACTTCTCAAAAGTCAATGGAGTGAACTGTCCGATTTATCTGTCGATCAGATTTCGGAATTTTACGCTCAAAGGCAAGTTTCGAAAATTTCGGAAGCTGTGATCAACGAATGCAAGAACTACATGGGCGATGCGATCCACAATATCGAGGACAGCTTCGATACAATCGGATCTCAAATCGCTGTCGGTTCTTCGGATTTGGAAAATTTCCTCGAAGAAATGCACGCAATTCAGTCTGGTTTAACAGACAATCAGGATCTGGACAGATACGAGAAGCACAGATCGTTCCTTTACGAGAATTTAATTGACAAATTAAATAATACGATTGGCGGTGTTTGGACATCGACAACCGATCGCTCAATACACATGAAATTCGATCCTGTTATAGATAGCTTCGGCAGACATTACAGATTGCGTCCAAACAAACATTTTAATGATCACATGGATGCTTCGAGAATGAGAGACCTTTGCACAAACGAAACAGTCATAGTAGAGAGGATGAAGACAATGGATGTCATTTCGCAGACTCACAAATTAACTGCCGACTCAATTTTGACATTAGACTGTCAAATGTGCACAATTAGAAGAATATACTTGGGAAAGGTCATTGTTACATCCAACTATATTTATTTCGATGCAAATACCTTTATAACTCCGATTTCTGATGAAAAATACGATTCAAGAAAGTTTGTTGAGATTGAAACGTCATCAATTAACCATATGTTATGGAGAAGATTCCAATTGGTTAATTGTGCATGCGAAATCTTTACTTCAAACTTGATTTCGTATTTCTTTATTTTCGATAACGACCAAACAAGGAACAATTTCTTACAGACAGTTGCAGAAAAAACATATACTCCTAATCTGCAGATCTTCCAGAAGAAACCGTTCCTTGGATTAGTTCCTCCTGATATTATTGAAAAATGGAGAACAGGAAAGATGTCAAACTTCGAATATCTGTACTGGTTAAACATGTTAGCAGGCAGATCATACAATGATATCTCTCAGTACCCTGTTTATCCATGGATTTTGTCAAATTACAAAAATGATACAATTAATTTCAATGAAAAAGGTAATTATAGGAAGCTCACTAAACCCCTTGGAGCATTAAACAGCACGAGATTGAGCAAACTTATAAAATCAAGGAAAGATGTTGAAGGAACTGTTTTTGACTGCCTTTACAGGTCCCATTACTCTACTCCTGCCTTCGTTATATTTTATATGATAAGAATTGAGCCGTTTACAAGCTTACATATCCTTCTACAAAAAGATAGATTTGATAATCCAAATAGATTGTTCTCTAGCATTCCTTACAGCTGGGAATTGGTCACAGGAACAGCCATAGATTTCAGAGAGCTCATTCCTGAGTTCTTTTCTTTCGGAACTTTCCTTAAAAATTCCGAAAATTACGATCTCGGCGAACTTTCAAACGGAACTCGAGTAAACGACGTCCAGCTTCCACCATGGGCCAAGAACAGCTCTCAGTTTGTCATAATGAACAGGCTGGCCCTTGAATCTCCTTATGTTTCGGCAAATCTCAACCATTGGATCGATTTAATGTTCGGCTACAGATCGAGAGGCCAAGGCGCTGAGGATGTTTTCAACGTTTTCAGCCCTTACTCTTATTCCGAAGTTTTGAATGATCCAACAATTTCAGTAGAAGTGGCTCGCTCCTCCGCGTACAACTTTGGAACATGTCCTGACCAGATATTCAGCGAACCTTCCCCAGAGAAACAAATTCTGAAAACAAATAAAATTTGTTCATCGTCAGGATTCTTCGAATTCACCGAAACAAAGCTCGGAACTATCGAAGGCCATGTTGTTTCCATCTATTCCGATAACGATTCATACGTTCTTTTGACTTCTGAAGGCACATGCATCAAATTCAAGAGTCAAAAGAACGGCCAATACACGTTTTCCACTGAAAAATATCCTTTCAGATGTTTCTCATCGCAATTCGTCTGCGTCATCAAAGAGACAGACACAATTGTCGTTTCAGCGCCATACAAAGATTACTTCGAAACATATTCTTTGTCCAAAAAGAATTTGCTGAAGACAAGTCCATCGAATGGCAGCACAATCACAGCTTTGACTGGTTCAGAGGATGGATCATCATTAGCTTCATGTTGTGTTGATTCCAGTGTCATCATTTGGAAAGGAGAAACTGATGAAGGAACAATTATTTCTGTTCATTCTAATCCCGTCAAATTTGTTTGCATGAACAAAAGAAATGACTCTTTAGTGTCTGTTGACAGCTCCAATTTATTGGTTTGCACGAGTATATCATCAGGAAAACCATTCTCTATCTGTCAATTGCCTCAAATGCCAAGTATTTTGTTGCTTTCGCCAATGGGATTAATTGTTACTGTTACTTCTCCTTTGAATGTAGAAAACCAAGGATCAATAGAAGTCAGAGATTTGTGTTGCAACATTGTTGCAAGTCTTCCTCTGAAGTTTAACTCTTGCAAGGCTGTCATTGCTCAAATGCCTGATTTCGGTGAGTTCCTGATTATTGGAATAGAAAGGAAGTTGGTGATTTGGAGACTGTTCGATTTGAAGTCTGTTGGAATTCACAAACTGAATTCTTTGATCTCCGAAATTTCTTATGTAAGCGAATCAAATTTGATTTTGATCGTGCTGGAAAACGGAGACTTTATCAGACTGCAGCTCACTATATCATCATGATTTTTTATTTTAATTAGTTATATTTTTATCAAAGCGCGGATTTTAATTTATATTTTATTTTTATATATATTTTTTATTTTAAATGTATTTTGATATGCTATTTTTCAACCAAAACAATATTTTTATATCTAGATTATTAAGAGAATAACTTGTATTCAATATGATCAAGAACTTTGACCTATTGATATGTAATCGTGGCACTCGATCCATAAAAATAGTAAAGAAACTTAAATCATATGTTATAAGTATCAAAAACGAAATCATTATATGGTACTATATTTGATTTCTTCGTTATTAGTCCCTTCAAATCTCCACATTTTGGACAATAAATAATAGTTTGTGGAACCTAATTTATATTCTGAAGGTTGAATTTATCTTACATGAAAACCCTGAATTATAAATAGATGAAACAGACATTTCAACACTCCTGCTTTCGAAATAGCTTCAACCGAAAGCACTAAATCTACTATTGAATCTTTGTGATCTAAGCAATGCAGTAGAGAGGGAATTAATATAATGTTGAAATCTTTGAAAGATGTGATAATTTCCACATTGCATATAGTTCAAGATTTCTGACTGCTTTATGATATTTTTTATATTTCTTATAAATCTTTGAAGTGTCAAAGAAGGTTTCATTATGAACACTATGTTGGATCTAATTGGTTTATTGATATATGCATTATCGAGGAATATTGGAGGATTTATCAATATCAACAACTGAAAACAATGAACTTCAACATATCTCATAAAATAATACCTTATGATTTGCATCCCAATATCTCATATGATTCATCCATAAAAGTTTGCTTTAAATTTGTCTACCATCCTGAATAATAAGAAACTGATTTTTCATCTCAGTCAAATTTCACCTTTCTGACATTAGCAACCCAGTTTTTTAATATATCAAAATCTCATAAGCAACAAATATTTGTGCATGCATGAACTAATGATCATGTATAACATCAATAAATGAGGTCTCAGTGCTCACATTAAAAATTTCATTAAGATCTCTTCCTTAAATTGACTGATAATTTAACATACCCCTTTATGCAAATTCAAAAGCCAAGATCTTAGTTCATTATTGGATATTTTATTTGAAATCGAAATGAAATTTGATAATTTATGAGCAAATATATAACTTTTCTTAATAATTTCCCTTTTATAAGTCATATCATACTTAATTCTAGAAATATTGGTCTCTGAAATCAATATTTAAATTTTCAACGATAAAAAAAAATTCACGGCCAAAACGAAAAAATTTCTCAATTCATTTCATTTATTTTAATTTAAATGGAGCAATATCAAGCCTATGTTGTAAACGGAGTAGTTTCCGATCTTAGTCTTGATGATATTGCCAACAACGTCTCAATAGCAACCCAAAACAAAGTTAGTTCTTTTCAATTTGATACAACACCTTCATCACGTTCTTTAGCCTTTGTTTTTGAAAACAAAATCACCTTAAAAGCCATGAAAGAACAGTTTCCAGAGGCTAAAGTCTATCCAGTTGTTGAATTTGATGATCATGTTTCTAGAAATACAGTCATTTATTTAACCAATTTCCCTGAAGGAGTTACAACTATTGGCATTCAACAGATTGTCAAGTCATTCGGTGAAACAGTTTCTTACGGACAGTTAAATTACATGCATTTCTTCATGATGCAACGCGATTACCATGCTACATGCATCGCCCGTATATTACCTTACGTAGAGTTCCAGAATGGACACTTCAAAGTCTACTTAGACTACAAGCAAATCCCAATTATTCACGTTTCTCAAATTTCAAAGGAGTTCAAGGAAGAAGACGTCATTGAACGCATCAAATCTGTCAAACCAGTCTTGAAATACTACTCAAAGCCAAAGGAAGACAACTTTTTCACTTTGAATGTTCTTTTCGATACAATCGAAGATTCAAATGCCGTCATCAAGGCTCTTAACTTCATGGAATACGGTGACGATGAAGTCCTCTTGACTCCTTACGTTCCTCACGATGTTTTCGAAAAAATGAAAAGTTGGCAGCTGAAAATCGACAATCTCAGCATCGACGTCAAGTGCAAAAAGATCTACGAACACTTCATACAGTACGGACCCATCTTTTCTGTCAATATTTTCAAGAAAGGATCTTGCACAGCTTATATCCTCTTCATGGCCAACGAATCAGCGACCAAAGCCAAGGAGAACGAACAGAACGTCACGTTCGTAAACGCCACGAACTACAACATGATCTACGTTTCACATCTTCCACATAATGTTAAACAAGACGAGATAAAACAGCTTTTCCCGAAGGCCGCCAACATCCAGATCAATCCCAATGCAAACAGAGGCTTCCCACCGCAAGTAATCCTTTCTTTCGAGAACGAGGAAGACGGAAAACTCGCTTTGGAAAAAGGAAACCAAACATTTGTCAGAGGAATCAGGTTACTCTGCAACCCGAGAATTTCGAAGGAGAATTTGTTGAAGCAGAACCAGGGTGTGCAGGATAAACCAGACCGTACAATTGTCATCAAGAACTTGGAGTGGGACATCACGTTCGAGGAAGTTGCGAAACTCTGTGCAGAGTTCGGAACAGTCGACAGATTGTCTGTTAAGAATGGTCCGACATTTTCAACAGCAATTGCTCAGTACACAGAAGTGGAAATGGCGCAGAAAGCAATCAAGGAAATGGTCGAGTACCAGATGAACGACAGATGGGTTTCGGTCGAAGCGTACAACCCAATGACGTCAAGGAACCAGGCAAAGCATATAGAACAGAGAAGGTTCCAGGGAAGAGGTGGATATAATAAATAAAGTAAATGATGTGTTTTATAATTTTTCACAAATTAAGTTAATTTTTTCCATTTATTATGATAGTCATATAATATAGCATAATAAAGAGCAGATTTTCCATCTTCATCTTTTGCATGTGAAATACGAAGTTTGGCTGTTTCTTTGCGACTATTTCTTTGTTATTAAATTTTGCTGTATAATGAAGTACGGTTTCTCCATTATTACCTTTTTCATTGATTTTTCCCAGTAATGTGAAAAAAGAATTTCGGATGTTTCTTAACTATTTCTTTATGATGCATTATGAATAGCGTTTTTTCCATCTTTACCTTTATCATTGATATTTGCAATAAGTGATAAAAGAAACTCAGTTATTTTTTATAGAGACTTCTCAGTTCATTAAAAAAATTAATCCACAAACAAATGCCATTGTTATTCATAATGGAAAAAAAAAATCATGTCCTCCAAATACTAATTAGTATTCCAAGACGTTTACTCAGACTCCTCTATTAAAATCTCTAATCTAATTCTGGTTTTTATTATGGGTGCACTTACCTCATTCTTAATTTCTCTCAATTTTTTGGATGCCAAGCTTTATATCTCAACTTTCTATGATTAAAAGTTAATATTATTGATAGGGAATAAGCTATTATTATAAAATACCTAGTACCTCATGTGGCTATTATACTTTTTGCTGTTAAAATAAAAAAATATTATGAGAGCATGTCAGAAAGTGGTAATTGCACCAATGACAAAAAAGGTGACAACATACTTAAAATCAATTGTTACAAGATCATGATCAATCTCTAAATCATTGATTATTTTGAAGCTGGTGAATCAGTAATATAGCTATCAATAGTTACTGCATCTATTTCTTCAGTTTGGTGCTCAAATAATGATTTTTGAGACCGGAAACGCAGAATTATTAATTCACATCATATTTTATTGATTGAAAAAGTGACAAATATTATTAACTGATAATGAGCAACAATACTAATCACAGAAAATTTGATCCAAATTACGCGCTCATCAAGGATATGGTTTCTGATCCATATTATCCAAACGTTCAAGTTGATAAAGTAAAAACTATCATTGAAACATTTATTAAATTTCTCGAAGAAGGCATCACAGATCTCGATGCAATCCAAGATAAGCTTGATCAATTATGCCATTCAATAAATGATCTGATGGATGAATTTTATGAAAATGATAGTGAAATTGAAACAATTGCACGAGAATCTATTGCCTCAACAATAGATTATATTTTAGAATGGTTTAATATTAATATTGATCTTGAAACTGCTTTAGCAGAAAGGTGACCAACCTATTTTTTGAAAGTCCGCCATATTGACCAGGTTCCAGAGTTTAACAATTGCTTTAAATTCTCTGAACTTAAGCATAAATGGCACTGTGCTTCACATGTCATTAATCTAACCCATTGATTACCATATCCAATTTATATTTTTAATTTTTATTTTTGTTTGTAAATAGTATTTTTGATTTAATTTTACTTTTTATTCATTAATCTTACCGATTTGAGACAAGTTAGACGGAATGTCTTATTTTATTCATAATTTTCGATCCGATTCAAAGGTGACCAAACTATTTTTTGAAAGTCCGCCATAACTTTAATGGTACTATTTCAGCGTGTACAATGAATACAAAAATTCTAAGAGTTCCACATAAAATAGTACTTTAGACTTGAGTTAATGCTACCAAGCAAATGTTAAAAAGATGACTTTAGTGTTTTGATAATCAAAGATTAAAATCATTATTGTCTAAATCAATAATCATAACGACAGAAGTTAATGTTTTTTCATAAGTGCATTAAATCCACTTTTAAAAGTATACCTCAAAAATCAAAATATCAAAAAAAAATTGGCCGATAGGTTTGGCTTTAATTTTTGTCTGCTTTTATGATTTGATATGGATGTTATAATTTTAAAAGTTGAGCCAAATTCACCAATAGATTTTTGAGATTTGCAAATACTCAATAATTTTCAGCGTGTTATCTTTTATTAAAAGAACTATTTGGTTTCAGTATCATATAAATTGATATTTACTTTCTATTTGAACCTTCATTTAGCTAATGATTTAATAATACAGATTTCATCTAGTCCTTATAAGAGAATTTTGAATTTGTTATAATAAAAAAACAAACAGATATAGCTTACACTTCTATAATAAAGATACCTTTTATAGAAATCAGTATGAAATGTGTTTTGGCTTATTGGAAGCATATCAGACATAATCGCCATAATCAAAAAATCTATATACCCAATAAGTAATAAATTTGTCGATATAGATTTTCCATAAAATTAGTTTTTAGTCTGATCTTAAAATAAATTTAATTTTTTATAAAAAAAATCACATTTAAAAGTACCTTTTTAGTAGCTCGAAATCCTGTTGGTGGATTTCGGGCGTACTTCAAAATTAGCTTTTCTTCTACATATGCAAGCTATATTTTAAATATGGAGCAAATCGGATCGGCGAAAGGAGTTTAGTTACCTTTGATTTGATGTTTAGTTGGTTTAAGTTTACTTTAATTTAAACTAAGTATTCAAAACTAAATAAGAAGTTATTAAAAATCAGTTAATTTACAAACAAACAAGCTGAAATTGCAAATTTTCATGCGGATTTTAAATCCGTTGACACATCTGAGTTATGAATTCTTTCTTCATCATCTAATTTAGAAGATATTTTTCTGAATTTTCGATAATCGCGCATTGCGCAATTAATATCGAAATATACAACACCTTTGGTTCCGGAGTGTATGTCTGCATTATTTACTACATTATCGTAATATCGTTTACTTGGTTCCAAACCAAGTTTCCGATGAATAAAACGAGAAGCATGCTCAAACCATTGAGAGCATCTGGTTGTATTGTGACAACCCTCGAATACGTAAACTGCTTTATCATCGCATCCGTATACTTCAAAGATAGCATTTGCTTGAGAAACTGTAATGAATGAATCTTGCTTTCCATGACCTATTAAAAGAGGTGTTTTTGATTTATGTAATGAGGCCATAGGATAAGGTGAAATAATATTTGTTCCGAGTATTTCCTTTGCCTTGATTGAAATTATTCTTTTGACTATTGGAATAATAAAAGAAGGAATTCCGTTTAAGTGTGCTTGGTCATAAACCACGGATTCAGTATCTTTAAAAGCAGAATCGGCAACACAGCAAGAAAATTTATCTAATTCAGAAGCACTATGGAGAGCAATTGCGGCTCCCATGGATCTTCCCCAAACTGCGTATTTTTCAAAATGGAATGATTCGGTTAAGGCGGAAATGCAAGCTTCTACATCTTCTATTCCGGATCCATCAAGAGGTATATAGCCACCTTCGGAGTTGCCTGATCCCGAAAAATCAAACGAACAAAGTGCTAATTTGTTACTGCAGATGAATGGAACAAGATCAAGTGATTCAAATTGATTTGATCCTAAACTATGCAAATAAACAAGACAATAATGAGGTATATCGTAATCTTTATCATACCATAGTGATCCTACTAATTTCTTCCCGTTTGAATTTCGAAATGTGATTGGATGTCGAAGATATACAGAATCTCCGGATGTTATTGCAATTGCAGTTCGTTCATTATCATATCCTTCACGTGGAGGCCGAAAGCAGCAATCAATCAGCCACTCCACTACCTTTTGCATTTTGATGCAATTCTATAAACGTATAGATTTTTATTTTCCTCTCAAAAAATCCAAGAATTTCAATTCTTCTCAATTTTGGGATAGGGCCGGTATTTTGCTTTCTAAATCAATGCATTTCAATCACTGTTTTGTTATTCATATCTTCTCTTTTATGGAATTAATTCCATTCAAATAGATATACTCAACTACAGATTTATACAAACGGAAAGATTATTAACGATATGTAACTTGTAACAATACATTTATAATGAGTTATCATCATTATTAGGCAAAATATTATATTTGTATTTTTATTAGAGTTGAATTTGTAGCCTTAAAATCAAGGAGATTAATAGTCATATGATAATAGTGCAAAACACATTAACATGATTTTTTCGAGTTATTAAGATAATCTAGTTAATCACACTCTTGAAGTATTAAGGCACGTTTCAAAATATTTCCGTTTTACTAGGAAAAATTGAATTTATTCAATTGTTTACACGGAATAATTTATATATTAAAATAGTTCTCATCATTGATGACTATTATTTATGCAGAAAAATCAAGAGAATATTTTTAAACAATAAAAATTTATAAAACATTTTATTCAAATAAAATAAATATATACAAAATAAATATTATAATAGGTAAATTCATTCTTCTTCTTCGTATTCTTCTTCATATTCTTGGTCATCGACGATTCCTGCTTCTTCCTTAATCTTGTTGCATTCGTCGATCAAATTGTACATGCTTTGGAGTATTTGCTGGCTTTGCTCATCAAGTTCCTGTCCTTCCATTTCTGCAATTACAGCCTGAGCACCTGATATTGTATCATTGATTGTAACTACATTGGATTTGAGTTTCTGAGCAAACTTATATAAGGCAGAATTTACGATCTCTGGGTTTTGTTCCTTTAGTTCATTCATTTGATTGAGGAGGAAATTTGCGAATCCTTGCATGCTCTGTTCTACGTTTTCTTCTTCGTAGATATCTTTGTCTGTGATGTTATCTAACAACTCAGTGACATCTTCTGGAACATCCTTCGTGGATGGATCAGACATCGAATTTTGGAGGTCGTTTAGTAAGACTCCATATTTTCTTCTTCCTCTTCTTCTTGATTGCTTTGATTCTTCAGTTTCGCCTTCTTCTAATTCTTCTTCCTCTTCATTTGCTTCTTCTAAGGAGGCAAGATATTGTTCAACGGCGTTGTTGACAAGAGCGGATGCATCTTCGTATTTACGTTTATCTTCTTCATTGTCACTATTGGCAATCTTATCGTTAAGTGTGGATAAGATGTCTTCAGAAACGGAAACAAGTGTTTCTGGATCTTCATCACCAGATGCAAGGTGTTCAAGAAGATCACGAATCTGTTGTTCAAGTTCACTGAGATCTTTAGATTCAGATGGTTCTTGTTTCTGTTCTTGTTCTTCAATGATTTCTTCTTTGTCATTGTCTTGTTCTTGTTCGTCTTCTTCTGCGGCGGCAGAGGCGTAGTTATGAAGATATTCTTCAACAATGTCATTAAGTTGTTCGTGAGCTTCAATAAGTTCGGATTTAGTAGTTGGATCGTCACTATTAACAATAGAAGCATCAAGTTGTGAAATAAGTTTCTCGGCTCGTGAATTGAATTCTTCCAGACTAAGATCACCTTTAGATAATAAGTCTGCAATATCATTCAATTCGGACTTAATTGATGATGGACTTGAAACTGTGGTTGATGCTTGTTCTTGTTCTTCTTGTGATGGTTCTGCAACTTCGGCTGACTTAGATTCAGCTGTTGGGATTGATTCGAGTTCTTCTCGTTTCTGTGCGACCTTCTCTTCGAGTTCTTTGTTCTTGTTATCAATATCTTCGTTCTTAGATATCTTATCTTTGATTGATTCTTCTGCTGATTGAATCTCGTTCTCAAGTTCCGATGACTTGTCTTCAACTGTTGGAATGGATTCAAGTTCTTGTTTCTTGGATTCTAACTGTTGTTCAAGTTCTTTATTTTTATTGTCTGTTTCTTCGTTCTTTTCATTCTTATCATTGATGAAAGACTCGATGGATTGGAGTTCGTTTTCAAGTTCAGGTGATTTATCTTCAACAACTGGAATTGATTCAAGTTCTTGTTTCTTGTTTTCAATTTGATGTTCGAGTTCCTTGTTCTTCTTATCGGTTTCGTCGTTCTTTGACTTCTTATTATTGATAGATTCTTCAACTGATTTCAGTTCGTTAGAAAGGGAATCACTATTGTCTTCAACAACTGGAATTGATTCAAGTTCTTGTTTCTTGGATTCAATTTGTGATTCAAGTTCTTTGTTCTTCTTATCTGTCTCTTCGTTCTTGGAATTCTTGTCGTTGATAGAATCTGCAACAGATTTGAGTTCGTTCTCAAGTTCCGATGATTTGTCTTCAACTGTTGGAATGGATTCAAGTTCTTGTTTCTTGGATTCTAACTGTTGTTCAAGTTCTTTATTTTTATTGTCTGTTTCTTCGTTCTTTTCATTCTTATCATTGATTTGAGATTCTGTATTCTTGATTTCATTCTCAAGATCGGATAACTTGTCTTCAACGGTTGGAAGTGTTTCAAGCTCTTGTCTCAACTGTGTTAATTGTTCTTCAAGTTCGTTGTTCTTATTCGATATTTCCTCATTCTTGGACTTCTTATCATTGATCTTGGATTGTGTATCCTTGATCTCCTTTTCAAGATCTGATGATTTGTCTTCTTGTGTTGGAATTGAATCAAGAAGTTTCTTGAAATCTTCAAGTTGTTTCTGAAGTTCGTTGTTCTTGGATTCAATAGCTTCATTCTCTGACTTCTTCTGATCAATCTCTGACTTGATTTCATCGATGCGAGCTGAGAGTTCTTCACTCTTGTCTTCAGATTGTGGGATGGATTTGAGTTCGGCTTCTTTAGACTGAAGATCGGAAATTGCTTTCTTTTCTTCTTCTAAATCGTGGCCAATCTTAGAAAGTTGTTCTTCTAACTCAGCTGTTTGGGCAGAAAGTGAATCACGCACATTCTGTTTCTCAGCCAATTGCTGTTGAAGTTCATTGATTTTGTTCATGAGATCGTCATTCTTTGACTTTTGTTCTGCAATCTCACGGTCAACATCAGCAATTTGTGACTTGAGTTCATCAGTCTTTGTTTCAAGTTCTTCTGATTGTTGAGACTCTTCTTCACCTTCATTTGCTGCTTCGTCTGGTAAAATGATGTCTCTTGTCTCAACTTCTTGAATTGGCTCTTCTTCCTCATCGTTGTAAGCATCTTCTAATGATGCAAGATATTGTTCAACAGCGTTGTTGATTGTCTCTGATGCCTGTTGATAACGTAACTTATCATCATCACTATCACTTGTTGCAATCTTGTCATTGAGTGTAGATAAGATGTCTTCGGAAACTGAAACAAGTGTTTCTGGATCTTTATCTCCTGCAGCAATGCGTTCAAGAAGATCACGGATCTTTGATTCAAGTTCACTAAGATCTTTAGATTCTTCTTTCTCTTGTTCCTTAGATTCTGATTCTGGTGTTGTTTGTTCTTCAGCCTTTTCTTCAATTGAATCAAGTTCTTGTTGCTTTTCTGCTAATTTGTCTTCGAATTCCTTGTTCATCTTTTCTGTTTCTTCATTCTTAGCCCTCTTTTCGTTGATTTGAGACTCAATGTCCTTGAGTTGAGATTCAAGGTCTGAAGTCTTGTCTTCAACTGTTGGAATGGAATCGAGTTCCTTCTTCTTTTCAGCTAATTGTTGTTCGAGAGCATCGTTTTCATTCTTGATTTCTTCGTTCTTTGCTTGTTTATCATTGATTTCCTTTTCGATTTCATTGAGTTTGTTCTGGATTTCTTCCTTCTTAGACTCAACAGGTTCTATTGATTCGAGATCTTTCTGTTTCTGTGATAATTGTTGTTCAAGGTCTTCGATTGTATCTTGTTTCTCTTCAACAGAATTCTGTTCTGGAATAGTTTCTTCTTCTTCTTCGAGATCTTCTTTCTCAGCTTCGTTCAAGTAGTCATCAATTCTTTCTCCCATCTTGTTTCTCATGTCTTCAAGTTGTTTGACCAACTCTTTATTGCCATGGTTATCAACAATTGCGTTGTTGATTAATGCTTCCATTTGTGACTCTTTTTCAACAAGATCTGATGGATCAATATCGCCACTGTTGATTCTTTCGATTAAGTCGGCCATTTGATCATTGATCTTGTCTAAAGCTTCACTGTCAATTGGTTCTTCTGCAACAACTGGTGTTTCCTTGAGTTGTTTGAGGTTTTCTTCCATGAGATCCTGAAGAAGTTGATCTTTAGTATTGATATCTGAAACAATGTGGTCCTTCTTTTCTTCGTATTCTTCCTGGAATTGACTGATTTGATCTTGTATTTCATTGATCTTAGAGTCGAGATCGTTGAGTTCTTGTAGAAGTTCTTCGATCTCATTCTCTTTTTCTTTTGTATCTTCAATGAAGTTGTTCTTGAGTTCGTCCAATTTCTCTTGTTTCTCCTTGATTTGTTGTTCAAGATCTTTGTTCTTTCCATCAGTTTCGTTTTGTTTCTCTAACTGTTCTGCGATTTGTTTCTCGAGATCTGCCAATTTCCTTGCTAATTCTTCTGTCTTGTCTTCAACTGGAACAAGACTGTTCTTTTCTGCTTCTTTGTCTTTGATTTGTTTCTCTAACTCTTCGTTCTTCTTTGCTGTTTCTTCGTCAGCTAATTTCTGTTCGTTAATTGCCTTGCTGAGTTCTTCCAATTTATCTTCCAACTCTTTGTTATCATTCTTACGTTTTTCGATTTGTTCATTGATGTCATCAAGTTGTTTCTTGAGTTCTTCAGAGTTATCTTGAACTTCTGGAGTATTTTCGAGTTCTTTCTTCTTGCTGTCAATTGCATCTTGTAACTGTTTGTTATTGGCAGCGTTTTGTTCCATCTTGTCGTTGAAGGCCTTCTCAAGAATCTGGAGTTGATTCTTAAGTTCTTCTGAGTTATCTGGGATGTTTTTGATGGCTTCTAATTGTCTCTGTTTCTCATCAATCTGTTGCTGGAGAGAATCATTGTTTTCTTTGTTTTGTTCTGATTGATTCTTTCTCTCTTCGATTGCCTTGATGAGTTCATCTAATTGTCTCTGTTTCTCATCAATCTGTTGCTGGAGAGAATCATTGTTTTCGTTGTTTTGTTCTGATTGATTCTTTCTTTCTTCGATTGCCTTGTTGAGTTCATCCAATTGTGCCTTCTTTTCATCAATTTGTTGCTGGAGAGAATCATTGTTTTCTTTGTTTTGTTCTGATTGATTCTTTCTCTCTTCGATTGCCTTGATGAGTTCATCTAATTGTCTCTGTTTCTCATCAATCTGGTGCTGGAGAGAATCATTGTTTTCGTTGTTTTGTTCTGATTGATTCTTTCTCTCTTCGATCGCCTTGATGAGTTCATCCAATTGGGCCTTCTTCTCTTCAACTTGAGCATCCTTTTCTCCAACTTTTTCGGTTTTAGTAGCGATATCAGCGATCAATTCTTGAATCTTGTCTTCAAGTCTTTCGTATTCTTGATTCTTTTCTTCGATCTGAACGTTGAGAACATCTGCATTATCATTGAGAGAATCAAGAACTCCTTTATCTGTATCGATGTTAGATTTAAGCTCATTCAATTTGTCAGTCAACTCATTGCTATTATTCTTAAGTTTCTCAATTTGGTCTTTGATGTCATTGAGTTGCTTCTGGAGTTCTTCAGAGTTATCCTGGACAACTGTGATTGTTTCGAGTTCTCTGTTCTTGTTGTCAACTGCATCTTGTAACTGTTTGTTCTTGGCATCTGTTTCAGAGTTCTGTTTCAATCTATCATTAATTGCTTTCTCAAGTTCTTTGAGTTTCTGGTTGAATTCTTCAGATTTGTCTGGAGTATTTTGGAGATTTTCTAACTCAGCTTGTTTCTCTGCGAGTTGATGTTCAAGAGAAATGTTGTCTGATGACTTATTCTTCTGTTCTTCAATTTGTTTCTCGACATCAGCAAGTTTCTTCTTCAATTCTTCAACTGATTCACCATTCTGAAGGTTCTCAAGTTCTTGTTCTTTAGCTTCAATTGCTGTCTTCAATGCATAGACCATTGCTGCGTAGGTTGGATCAAGTGCATCGCGTTTCTCTTGAACCTTCTTTTCTGTTTCAGCGAGTTCCTTCTTGAGTTCATCGATGTTATCGCTGCGTTCCTTTGGAGATGATTTATCGGATGATTTAGTTGGAGATGTCTGGTTTCCAAGAGGAGCTCCGTCATCGTCGGAATCTGTGTCACGGTGAGATTTAAGCTTCTGAACATCAGCAGCTTGTTTCTCTTCGACTTCTTCTTCCTCCTCCTCTTCTTCTTCAACTTCATGATCCTTGTCGATTCTGCCAACAATACTATCAGCAAATTCCACAAAGCTTGGTTCTCCAATAACTGGTGCTAACTGCAAAGAATCATGCAAGTCCTTGTTGAGTTCAGAAACATGGTTCATCTTTTCATGTTCGTCGTTGACTGATTGTTGATCATCTTCGATTTCATTGTTGGATTCTATAAGGGAACTATCGCTTCGATATCCACCCGCGATATCATCTAGGAGTCCGTCTAGATTCAAGTCGTCTGAAGAGAATTGTTTGGAGCTTTCATCAGACTCGGTTGAAATATTGTTTTGTTGTTTGTCAGCATCTTTTTGTTGGATTTCTTTGTTGGCCTTTTCTGGTTCGTCATTGTGAGAATTATGTTCATTTATTATTTGATCAATTTGAGACTGAAGGAAGTGCGAATTGTCATTAGTAGATGGAATCGAATCAAGATCTTGTTGGATCTTGGCAAGTTGTTCTTCGAGTTCCTTGTTCTTCTTCTCGGTCTCGGCATTCTGTGAGTTCTTTGTGTTGATCTCGGAATCAACTTTCTTGATTTCGTTTTCAAGAGAGGCTGATTTGTCTTCAACGGTTGGAAGGAATGAAAGTTGTTTCTTCTTCGATTCGAGTTCGGCTTCAAGTGCTTGGTTAAGTTTAGAAGTCTCTTCGTTTCGTGAACGTTTATCAGCAATAGATGATTCAATGGCTGAAATATCCGCTAAAAGTTTAGAATGTTCGTCGGAAACTTCTGGAAGGAAGCTATTGTCGGTTTGAAGTGAGGCAAGTTTGGCATTAAGTTCTGAAATGTCTGCAAATGAAGCTTCTTGTTCGTTTTCAAGTTGAGAATGAAGATCTTCTTCTGAAACAACATCACGACGAAGATCTTCAATTGCTGACTTGTTGTCTTCAATGCATGATTGAAGAGCCGAGTTCTCGAGCTTAAGATTATCTAATTGCATAGAAAGGGAATCAATCTGAGATTTAAGGAGATCAGAATTGGCGACTAATTGTGAATTGGTTTCACGTTCGGCACGGATGGTATCTTCAAGAGCAGAAAGTTGAGTTTGAAGATTTTCGGTATCATCGGAAACTGGTTCGATTGAATCAAGTTCGGCTTGTTTCTGACAAAGTTCCGCTTCAAGTTCTTTGTTCTTATGATCTATTTCGGAATTCTTAGAAAGCTTAGAGTTGATCTGAGAATTGATGCTCTTAAGTTCGTTTTCGAGTTCGGATGACTTGTCTTCAACTGTTGGAATAGATTCAAGTTCATTCTTCTTAGATTCCAGTTGTTGTTGAAGTTCACTGTTCTTCTTTTCTTGTTCTGCGTTCTTGGAATTCTTTTCGTTGATATGTGAATTGATGTTCTTGATTTCGTTTTCGAGTTCGGATGATTTGTCTTCAACGGTTGGAATGGATTCAAGTTGAGACTTCTTATCATTCAACTCTTGTTCAAGATCTTTGTTCTTCTTGTCAGTTTCTGAGTTCTTTGAATTCTTGTCATTGATATGTGAATTGATGTTCTTGATTTCGTTTTCGAGTTCGGATGATTTGTCTTCAACGGTTGGAATGGATTCAAGTTGAGCTTTCTTATCATTCAACTCTTGTTCAAGATCTTTGTTCTTCTTGTCAGTTTCTGAGTTCTTTGAATTCTTTTCGTTGATATGTGAATTGATGTTCTTGATTTCGTTTTCGAGTTCGGATGATTTGTCTTCAACGGTTGGAATGGATTCAAGTTGAGACTTCTTATCATTCAACTCTTGTTCAAGGTCCTTGTTCTTATGATCGGTTTCTGAGTTCTTTGAATTCTTGTCATTGATCTGTGAATCAATCTTCTTAAGTTCGTTTTCAAGTTCGGATGATTTGTCTTCAACGGTTGGAATGGATTCAAGTTGAGACTTCTTATCATTCAACTCTTGTTCAAGATCTTTGTTCTTCTTGTCAGTTTCTGAGTTCTTTGAATTCTTTTCGTTGATATTGAATTGATGTTCTTGATTTCGTTTTCGAGTTCGGATGATTTGTCTTCAACGGTTGGAATGGATTCAAGTTGAGACTTCTTATCATTCAACTCTTGTTCAAGGTCCTTGTTCTTATGATCGGTTTCTGAGTTCTTTGAATTCTTGTCATTGATATGTGAATCAATCTTCTTAAGTTCGTTTTCAAGTTCGGATGATTTGTCTTCAACTGTTGGAATAGATTCAAGTTCATTCTTCTTAGATTCCAGTTGTGTTGAAGTTCACTGTTCTTCTTTCTTGTTCTGCGTTCTTGGAATTCTTTTCATTAATCTGAGAATCGATTACATTGATTTCAGCTTCAAGTTTTTCTTCTTCTTCATTGGCACCTTCTTCTAAGATGATATCGCGTGCTTCTGCTTCGCCAACCATTTCGTCCTCTTCGTATTCTTCTTCGGCGTCATCAGAAAGCTGATCAAGGTAGTTGTTCACTGCATTGTCAATTGATGATTTAACTTCTTCAAGTTAGCGCGCTCTGTTTTCATCTCTATCGAGAATTGCGTTGTCAATCTCTTTAGTAATTTCGTTAGCCAAAGAAACAATTGTTTCTGGGTCGGCATTTCCTTCATTGATAGAATCAATGAGATCAGAAATGCGGTTATTGAGATCGTCAAGATATTCATCTTCGTAGGATTTCAAGAGTTCGTCAACCCAACCGTTGAGTTCTTCTTTAGCAGCCTCGATTGCATCAACAACTTCTTGATTATCTGCATTGGCAACTGCGATTTCATCAAGTTTCTCTGTTGCTTCCTGTGCAAGTTGTGTAACTATATCAAGATTACTTGGATCAGAAAGTTTGTCGTGCAATTCATCAAGAACTTTTCGAACTTCTTCGAGATATTGCTGATTTCCATTGAGCTCATCCTCCAATTCGGCTATATCATTCTTGAGCGCATCAGTTTTCTCCTGGTGGTCGTTCTGGAGATCATCAATCTGTGACTTTGTCAGAGAAATCTGATCTCGGAGATCTTGGAGACGAGAAGAAAGTTCAGATGCCTCATTGTCGGCATTAATTGTATCATTAATGAATTCTTCCTTCAACTGCTTAAGTTCTTTCTCTTTGGCTTCGATATCACGTTTGATTTTCTCGTTGTTGACATTCTTCTTTTCATTTTCTGCCTTGACTTCGTTGATAGAATTATCGAGTTGTGCTAGTCTGTTCTTTAATTCTTCAGTCTTGTCTTCGACTTCTGGGATTTGTTCTAATTCTGACTGTTTATTGTTGACTTGGTTTTCGAGATCATTGTTGTTCTTAGTTATTTTCTCGTTCTTGGCTTGTTTCGCGTCAATTGACTTCTGAAGATTATCAATTGTTTGTTTGAGTGCTGCTGATTTGTCTTCAACAGCTGGAATGCTGTTTAGCATTGATTGTTTCTCAGCAATAGTTTTCAAGATCCTCGTTGTTCTTCTTTGTTTCTTCATTCTTAGCGAGTTTATCTGCGATTGTTTCTCGAGTTCCTTAAGTTTGTCATTGAGTCCTTGAGATTTGTCTTCAACAGCTTCAATTTGGTCGATTTCAGATTGTTTCTCTGAAATCGCTTTCTGAGTGCTTGATTTTGTTTGATTGTTTCTTCATTCTTTCTTAATTTCTCAGCGAGCTGAGCTTCAAGAGCTGAAAGTTTAGATTGAAGTTCATCGAGTTGGGATTCGACAACTGGCAATTGATCAAGTTGTTTCTTCTTCGATTCGAGTTCGCTTCAAGTGCTTGGTTAAGTTTAGAAGTCTCTTCGTTTCGTGAACGTTTATCAGCAATAGATGATTCAATGGCTGAAATATCCGCTAAAAGTTTAGAATGTTCGTCGGAAACTTCTGGAAGGAAGCTATTGTCGGTTTGAAGTGAGGCAAGTTTGGCATTAAGTTCTGAAATGTCTGCAAATGAAGCTTCTTGTTCGTTTTCAAGTTGAGAATGAAGATCTTCTTCTGAAACAACATCACGACGAAGATCTTCAATTGCTGACTTGTTGTCTTCAATGCATGATTGAAGAGCCGAGTTCTCGAGCTTAAGATTATCTAATTGCATAGAAAGGGAATCAATCTGAGATTAAGGAGATCAGAATTGGCGACTAATTGTGAATTGGTTTCACGTTCGGCACGGATGGTATCTTCAAGAGCAGAAAGTTGAGTTTGAAGATTTTCGGTATCATCGGAAACTGGTTCGATTGAATCAAGTTCGGCTTGTTTCTGACAAAGTTCCGCTTCAATTCTTTGTTCTTATGATCTATTTCGGAATTCTTAGAAAGCTTAGAGTTGATCTGAGAATTGATGCTCTTAAGTTCGTTTCGAGTTCGATGACTTGTCTTCAACTGTTGGAATAGATTCAAGTTCATTCTTCTTAGATTCCAGTTGTTGTTGAAGTTCACTGTTCTTCTTTTCTTGTTCTGCGTTCTTGAATTCTTTTCGTTGATATGTGAATTGATGTTATTGATTTCCTCTTCAACAGATGATGATTTATCTTCAACGGTTGGAATAGATTCAAGTTCCTTCTTCTTCGATTCGAGCTGTTCTTCGAGTTCCTTGTTCTTCTGTCGGTATCTTCGTTCATAGAATTCTTTTGATTGATTAATTCTTCCATGTTATTCTTTTCTTCTTCAAGTTGATGTTCGAGTTCCTTGTTATGTCTGTCTGTTTTATCGTTATTTGCGTTCTTTTCGTTGATGGATTGTTCAACAGACTTAAGTTCATTCTCAAGATCGGATGACTTGTCTTCAACAGTTGGAATTGATTCTAATTGCGCCTTCTTATCGGAAAGTTGTTGTTCTAGTTCCTTGTTCTTATGATCGGTCTCTTCATTCTTGGAATTCTTTTCGTTGATCTGAGAATCAACATTATTGATTTCATTTTCAAGTTCGGATGATTTGTCTTCAACGGTTGGAATGGATTCAAGTTGAGACTTCTTATCATTCAACTCTTGTTCAAGGTCCTTGTTCTTATGATCGGTTTCTGAGTTCTTTGAATTCTTGTCATTGATCTGAGAATCAATCTTCTTAAGTTCGTTTTCAAGTTCGGATGATTTGTCTTCAACGGTTGGAATGGATTCAAGTTGAGCTTTCTTATCATTCAACTCTTGTTCAAGATCTTTGTTCTTCTTGTCAGTTTCTGAGTTCTTTGAATTCTTTTCGTTGATATGTGAATTGATGTTCTTGATTTCGTTTTCGAGTTCGGATGATTTGTCTTCAACGGTTGGAATGGATTCAAGTTGAGACTTCTTATCATTCAACTCTTGTTCAAGGTCCTTGTTCTTATGATCGGTTTCTGAGTTCTTTGAATTCTTGTCATTGATCTGTGAATCAATCTTCTTAAGTTCGTTTTCAAGTTCGGATGATTTGTCTTCAACTGTTGGAATAGATTCAAGTTCATTCTTCTTAGATTCCAGTTGTTGTTGAAGTTCACTGTTCTTCTTTTCTTGTTCTGCGTTCTTGGAATTCTTTTCATTAATCTGAGAATCGATTACATTGATTTCAGCTTCAAGTTTTTCTTCTTCTCATTGGCACCTTCTTCTAAGATGATATCGCGTGCTTCTGCTTCGCCAACCATTTCGTCCTCTTCGTATTCTTCTTCGGCGTCATCAGAAAGCTGATCAAGGTAGTTGTTCACTGCATTGTCAATTGATGATTTAACTTCTTCAAGGTTAGCGCGCTCTGTTTCATCTCTATCGAGAATTGCGTTGTCAATCTCTTTAGTAATTTCGTTAGCCAAAGAAACAATTGTTTCTGGGTCGGCATTTCCTTCATTGATAGAATCAATGAGATCAGAAATGCGGTTATTGAGATCGTCAAGATATTCATCTTCGTAGGATTTCAAGAGTTCGTCAACCCAACCGTTGAGTTCTTCTTTAGCAGCCTCGATTGCATCAACAACTTCTTGATTATCTGCATTGGCAACTGCGATTTCATCAAGTTTCTCTGTTGCTTCCTGTGCAAGTTGTGTAACTATATCAAGATTACTTGGATCAGAAAGTTTGTCGTGCAATTCATCAAGAACTTTTCGAACTTCTTCGAGATATTGCTGATTTCCATTGAGCTCATCCTCCAATTCGGCTATATCATTCTTGAGCGCATCAGTTTTCTCCTGTGGTCGTTCTGGAGATCATCAATCTGTGACTTTGTCAGAGAAATCTGATCTCGGAGATCTTGGAGACGAGAAGAAAGTTCAGATGCCTCATTGTCGCATTAATTGTATCATTAATGAATTCTTCCTTCAACTGCTTAAGTTCTTTCTCTTTGGCTTCGATATCACGTTTGATTTTCTCGTTGTTGACATTCTTCTTTTCATTTTCTGCCTTGACTTCGTTGATAGAATTATCGAGTTGTGCTAGTCTGTTCTTTAATTCTTCAGTCTTGTCTTCGACTTCTGGATTTGTTCTAATTCTGACTGTTTATTGTTGACTTGGTTTTCGAGATCATTGTTGTTCTTAGTTATTTCATCGTTCTTGGCTTGTTTCGCGTCAATTGACTTCTGAAGATTATCAATTGTTTGTTTGAGTGCTGCTGATTTGTCTTCAACATCTGGAATGCTGTTTAGCATTGATTGTTTCTCAGCAATAGTCTTTTCAAGATCCTCGTTGTTCTTCTTTGTTTCTTCATTCTTAGCGAGTTTATCTGCGATTTGTTTCTCGAGTTCCTTAAGTTTGTCATTGAGTCCTTGAGATTTGTCTTCAACAGCTTCAATTTGGTCGATTTCAGATTGTTTCTCTGAAATCGCTTTCTGGAGTGCTTGATTTTGTTTGATTGTTTCTTCATTCTTTCTTAATTTCTCAGCGAGCTGAGCTTCAAGAGCTGAAAGTTTAGATTGAAGTTCATCGAGTTGGGATTCGACAACTGGCAATTGATCAAGTTGTTTCTTCTTCGATTCGAGTTCGGCTTCAAGTGCTTGGTTAAGTTTAGAAGTCTCTTCGTTTCGTGAACGTTTATCAGCAATAGATGATTCAATGGCTGAAATATCCGCTAAAAGTTTAGAATGTTCGTCGGAAACTTCTGGAAGGAAGCTATTGTCGGTTTGAAGTGAGGCAAGTTTGGCATTAAGTTCTGAAATGTCTGCAAATGAAGCTTCTTGTTCGTTTTCAAGTTGAGAATGAAGATCTTCTTCTGAAACAACATCACGACGAAGATCTTCAATTGCTGACTTGTTGTCTTCAATGCATGATTGAAGAGCCGAGTTCTCGAGCTTAAGATTATCTAATTGCATAGAAAGGGAATCAATCTGAGATTTAAGGAGATCAGAATTGGCGACTAATTGTGAATTGGTTTCACGTTCGGCACGGATGGTATCTTCAAGAGCAGAAAGTTGAGTTTGAAGATTTTCGGTATCATCGGAAACTGGTTCGATTGAATCAAGTTCGGCTTGTTTCTGACAAAGTTCCGCTTCAAGTTCTTTGTTCTTATGATCTATTTCGGAATTCTTAGAAAGCTTAGAGTTGATCTGAGAATTGATGCTCTTAAGTTCGTTTTCGAGTTCGGATGACTTGTCTTCTACTGTTGGAATAGATTCAAGTTCATTCTTCTTAGATTCCAGTTGTTGTTGAAGTTCACTGTTCTTCTTTTCTTGTTCTGCGTTCTTGGAATTCTTTTCGTTGATATGTGAATTGATGTTATTGATTTCCTCTTCAACAGATGATGATTTATCTTCAACGGTTGGAATAGATTCAAGTTCCTTCTTCTTCGATTCGAGCTGTTCTTCGAGTTCCTTGTTCTTCTTGTCGGTATCTTCGTTCATAGAATTCTTTTGATTGATTAATTCTTCCATGTTATTCTTTTCTTCTTCAAGTTGATGTTCGAGTTCCTTGTTATGTCTGTCTGTTTTATCGTTATTTGCGTTCTTTTCGTTGATGGATTGTTCAACAGACTTAAGTTCATTCTCAAGATCGGATGACTTGTCTTCAACAGTTGGAATTGATTCTAATTGCGCCTTCTTATCGGAAAGTTGTTGTTCTAGTTCCTTGTTCTTATGATCGGTCTCTTCATTCTTGGAATTCTTTTCGTTGATCTGAGAATCAACATTATTGATTTCATTTTCAAGTTCGGATGATTTGTCTTCAACGGTTGGAATGGATTCAAGTTGAGACTTCTTATCATTCAACTCTTGTTCAAGGTCCTTGTTCTTATGATCGGTTTCTGAGTTCTTTGAATTCTTGTCATTGATCTGAGAATCAATCTTCTTAAGTTCGTTTTCAAGTTCGGATGATTTGTCTTCAACGGTTGGAATGGATTCAAGTTGAGCTTTCTTATCATTCAACTCTTGTTCAAGATCTTTGTTCTTCTTGTCAGTTTCTGAGTTCTTTGAATTCTTTTCGTTGATATGTGAATTGATGTTCTTGATTTCGTTTTCGAGTTCGGATGATTTGTCTTCAACGGTTGGAATGGATTCAAGTTGAGACTTCTTATCATTCAACTCTTGTTCAAGGTCCTTGTTCTTATGATCGGTTTCTGAGTTCTTTGAATTCTTGTCATTGATCTGAGAATCAACATTATTGATTTCATTTTCAAGTTCGGATGACTTGTCTTCTACTGTTGGAATGGATTCAAGTTCTTGTTTCTTATCATTCAACTCTTGTTCAAGGTCCTTGTTCTTATGATCGGTTTCTGAGTTCTTTGAATTCTTTTCGTTGATCTGAGAATTGATGTTCTTGATTTCATTTTCGAGTTCGGATGACTTGTCTCCAACTGTTGGAATAGATTCAAGTTGAGACTTCTTATCATTCAACTCTTGTTCAAGATCTTTGTTCTTCTTGTCAGTTTCTGAGTTCTTTGAATTCTTTTCGTTGATATGTGAATTGATGTTCTTGATTTCGTTTTCGAGTTCGGATGATTTGTCTTCAACGGTTGGAATAGATTCAAGTTGAGCTTTCTTATCATTCAACTCTTGTTCAAGATCTTTGTTCTTCTTGTCAGTTTCTGAGTTCTTTGAATTCTTTTCGTTGATATGTGAATTGATGTTCTTGATTTCGTTTTCGAGTTCGGATGATTTGTCTTCAACGGTTGGAATGGATTCAAGTTGAGACTTCTTATCATTCAACTCTTGTTCAAGGTCCTTGTTCTTATGATCGGTTTCTGAGTTCTTTGAATTCTTGTCATTGATATGTGAATTGATGTTCTTGATTTCGTTTTCGAGTTCGGATGATTTGTCTTCAACGGTTGGAATGGATTCAAGTTGAGCTTTCTTATCATTCAACTCTTGTTCAAGATCTTTGTTCTTCTTGTCAGTTTCTGAGTTCTTTGAATTCTTTTCGTTGATATGTGAATTGATGTTCTTGATTTCGTTTTCGAGTTCGGATGATTTGTCTTCAACGGTTGGAATAGATTCAAGTTGAGACTTCTTATCATTCAACTCTTGTTCAAGGTCCTTGTTCTTATGATCGGTTTCTGAGTTCTTTGAATTCTTGTCATTGATATGTGAATTGATGTTCTTGATTTCGTTTTCGAGTTCGGATGATTTGTCTTCAACGGTTGGAATGGATTCAAGTTGAGCTTTCTTATCATTCAACTCTTGTTCAAGATCTTTGTTCTTCTTGTCAGTTTCTGAGTTCTTTGAATTCTTTTCGTTGATATGTGAATTGATGTTCTTGATTTCGTTTTCGAGTTCGGATGATTTGTCTTCAACGGTTGGAATAGATTCAAGTTGAGCTTTCTTATCATTCAACTCTTGTTCAAGATCTTTGTTCTTCTTGTCAGTTTCTGAGTTCTTTGAATTCTTTTCGTTGATATGTGAATTGATGTTCTTGATTTCGTTTTCGAGTTCGGATGATTTGTCTTCAACGGTTGGAATGGATTCAAGTTGAGACTTCTTATCATTCAACTCTTGTTCAAGGTCCTTGTTCTTATGATCGGTTTCTGAGTTCTTTGAATTCTTGTCATTGATATGTGAATCAATCTTCTTAAGTTCGTTTTCAAGTTCGGATGACTTGTCTTCAACTGTTGGAATAGATTCAAGTTCATTCTTCTTAGATTCCAGTTGTTGTTGAAGTTCACTGTTCTTCTTTTCTTGTTCTGCGTTCTTGGATTTTTTCATTAATCTGAGAATCGATTACATTGATTTCAGCTTCAAGTTTTTCTTCTTCTTCATTGGCACCTTCTTCTAAGATGATATCGCGTGCTTCTGCTTCGCCAACCATTTCGTCCTCTTCGTATTCTTCTTCGGCGTCATCAGAAAGCTGATCAAGGTAGTTGTTCACTGCATTGTCAATTGATGATTTAACTTCTTCAAGGTTAGCGCGCTCTGTTTCATCTCTATCGAGAATTGCGTTGTCAATCTCTTTAGTAATTTCGTTAGCCAAAGAAACAATTGTTTCTGGGTCGGCATTTCCTTCATTGATAGAATCAATGAGATCAGAAATGCGGTTATTGAGATCGTCAAGATATTCATCTTCGTAGGATTTCAAGAGTTCGTCAACCCAACCGTTGAGTTCTTCTTTAGCAGCCTCGATTGCATCAACAACTTCTTGATTATCTGCATTGGCAACTGCGATTTCATCAAGTTTCTCTGTTGCTTCCTGTGCAAGTTGTGTAACTATATCAAGATTACTTGGATCAGAAAGTTTGTCGTGCAATTCATCAAGAACTTTTCGAACTTCTTCGAGATATTGCTGATTTCCATTGAGCTCATCCTCCAATTCGGCTATATCATTCTTGAGCGCATCAGTTTTCTCCTGGTGGTCGTTCTGGAGATCATCAATCTGTGACTTTGTCAGAGAAATCTGATCTCGGAGATCTTGGAGACGAGAAGAAAGTTCAGATGCCTCATTGTCGGCATTAATTGTATCATTAATGAATTCTTCCTTCAACTGCTTAAGTTCTTTCTCTTTGGCTTCGATATCACGTTTGATTTTCTCGTTGTTGACATTCTTCTTTTCATTTTCTGCCTTGACTTCGTTGATAGAATTATCGAGTTGTGCTAGTCTGTTCTTTAATTCTTCAGTCTTGTCTTCGACTTCTGGGATTTGTTCTAATTCTGACTGTTTATTGTTGACTTGGTTTTCGAGATCATTGTTGTTCTTAGTTATTTCATCGTTCTTGGCTTGTTTCGCGTCAATTGACTTCTGAAGATTATCAATTGTTTGTTTGAGTGCTGCTGATTTGTCTTCAACAGCTGGAATGCTGTTTAGCATTGATTGTTTCTCAGCAATAGTCTTTTCAAGATCCTCGTTGTTCTTCTTTGTTTCTTCATTCTTAGCGAGTTTATCTGCGATTTGTTTCTCGAGTTCCTTAAGTTTGTCATTGAGTCCTTGAGATTTGTCTTCAACAGCTTCAATTTGGTCGATTTCAGATTGTTTCTCTGAAATCGCTTTCTGGAGTGCTTGATTTTGTTTGATTGTTTCTTCATTCTTTCTTAATTTCTCAGCGAGCTGAGCTTCAAGAGCTGAAAGTTTAGATTGAAGTTCATCGAGTTGGGATTCGACAACTGGCAATTGATCAAGTTGTTTCTTCTTCGATTCGAGTTCGGCTTCAAGTGCTTGGTTAAGTTTAGAAGTCTCTTCGTTTCGTGAACGTTTATCAGCAATAGATGATTCAATGGCTGAAATATCCGCTAAAAGTTTAGAATGTTCGTCGGAAACTTCTGGAAGGAAGCTATTGTCGGTTTGAAGTGAGGCAAGTTTGGCATTAAGTTCTGAAATGTCTGCAAATGAAGCTTCTTGTTCGTTTTCAAGTTGAGAATGAAGATCTTCTTCTGAAACAACATCACGACGAAGATCTTCAATTGCTGACTTGTTGTCTTCAATGCATGATTGAAGAGCCGAGTTCTCGAGCTTAAGATTATCTAATTGCATAGAAAGGGAATCAATCTGAGATTTAAGGAGATCAGAATTGGCGACTAATTGTGAATTGGTTTCACGTTCGGCACGGATGGTATCTTCAAGAGCAGAAAGTTGAGTTTGAAGATTTTCGGTATCATCGGAAACTGGTTCGATTGAATCAAGTTCGGCTTGTTTCTGACAAAGTTCCGCTTCAAGTTCTTTGTTCTTATGATCTATTTCGGAATTCTTAGAAAGCTTAGAGTTGATCTGAGAATTGATGCTCTTAAGTTCGTTTTCGAGTTCGGATGACTTGTCTTCAACTGTTGGAATAGATTCAAGTTCATTCTTCTTAGATTCCAGTTGTTGTTGAAGTTCACTGTTCTTCTTTTCTTGTTCTGCGTTCTTGGAATTCTTTTCGTTGATATGTGAATTGATGTTATTGATTTCCTCTTCAACAGATGATGATTTATCTTCAACGGTTGGAATAGATTCAAGTTCCTTCTTCTTCGATTCGAGCTGTTCTTCGAGTTCCTTGTTCTTCTTGTCGTATCTTCGTTCATAGAATTCTTTTGATTGATTAATTCTTCCATGTTATTCTTTTCTTCTTCAAGTTGATGTTCGAGTTCCTTGTTATGTCTGTCTGTTTTATCGTTATTTGCGTTCTTTTCGTTGATGGATTGTTCAACAGACTTAAGTTCATTCTCAAGATCGGATGACTTGTCTTCAACAGTTGGAATTGATTCTAATTGCGCCTTCTTATCGGAAAGTTGTTGTTCTAGTTCCTTGTTCTTATGATCGGTCTCTTCATTCTTGGAATTCTTTTCGTTGATCTGAGAATCAACATTATTGATTTCATTTTCAAGTTCGGATGATTTGTCTTCAACGGTTGGAATGGATTCAAGTTGAGACTTCTTATCATTCAACTCTTGTTCAAGGTCCTTGTTCTTATGATCGGTTTCTGAGTTCTTTGAATTCTTGTCATTGATCTGAGAATCAACATTATTGATTTCATTTTCAAGTTCGGATGACTTGTCTTCTACTGTTGGAATGGATTCAAGTTCTTGTTTCTTATCATTCAACTCTTGTTCAAGGTCCTTGTTCTTATGATCGGTTTCTGAGTTCTTTGAATTCTTTTCGTTGATCTGAGAATCAATGTTCTTGATTTCATTTTCGAGTTCGGATGACTTGTCTCCAACTGTTGGAATAGATTCAAGTTGAGCTTTCTTATCATTCAACTCTTGTTCAAGATCTTTGTTCTTCTTGTCAGTTTCTGAGTTCTTTGAATTCTTTTCGTTGATATGTGAATTGATGTTCTTGATTTCGTTTTCGAGTTCGGATGATTTGTCTTCAACGGTTGGAATGGATTCAAGTTGAGACTTCTTATCATTCAACTCTTGTTCAAGGTCCTTGTTCTTATGATCGGTTTCTGAGTTCTTTGAATTCTTTTCGTTGATATGTGAATTGATGTTCTTGATTTCGTTTTCGAGTTCGGATGATTTGTCTTCAACGGTTGGAATAGATTCAAGTTGAGCTTTCTTATCATTCAACTCTTGTTCAAGATCTTTGTTCTTCTTGTCAGTTTCTGAGTTCTTTGAATTCTTTTCGTTGATATGTGAATTGATGTTCTTGATTTCGTTTTCGAGTTCGGATGATTTGTCTTCAACGGTTGGAATGGATTCAAGTTGAGCTTTCTTATCATTCAACTCTTGTTCAAGATCTTTGTTCTTCTTGTCAGTTTCTGAGTTCTTTGAATTCTTTTCGTTGATATGTGAATTGATGTTCTTGATTTCGTTTTCGAGTTCGGATGATTTGTCTTCAACGGTTGGAATGGATTCAAGTTGAGACTTCTTATCATTCAACTCTTGTTCAAGGTCCTTGTTCTTATGATCGGTTTCTGAGTTCTTTGAATTCTTTTCGTTGATATGTGAATTGATGTTCTTAAGTTCGTTTTCAAGTTCGGATGATTTGTCTTCAACTGTTGGAATAGATTCAAGTTCATTCTTCTTAGATTCCAGTTGTTGTTGAAGTTCACTGTTCTTCTTTTCTTGTTCTGCGTTCTTGGAATTCTTTTCGTTGATATGTGAATTGATGTTATTGATTTCCTCTTCAACAGATGATGATTTATCTTCAACGGTTGGAATAGATTCAAGTTCCTTCTTCTTCGATTCGAGCTGTTCTTCGAGTTCCTTGTTCTTCTTGTCGGTATCTTCGTTCATAGAATTCTTTTGATTGATTAATTCTTCCATGTTATTCTTTTCTTCTTCAAGTTGATGTTCGAGTTCCTTGTTATGTCTGTCTGTTTTATCGTTATTTGCGTTCTTTTCGTTGATGGATTGTTCAACAGACTTAAGTTCATTCTCAAGATCGGATGACTTGTCTTCAACAGTTGGAATTGATTCTAATTGCGCCTTCTTATCGGAAAGTTGTTGTTCTAGTTCCTTGTTCTTATGATCGGTCTCTTCATTCTTGGAATTCTTTTCGTTGATCTGAGAATCAACATTATTGATTTCATTTTCAAGTTCGGATGATTTGTCTTCAACGGTTGGAATGGATTCAAGTTGAGACTTCTTATCATTCAACTCTTGTTCAAGGTCCTTGTTCTTATGATCGGTTTCTGAGTTCTTTGAATTCTTGTCGTTGATCTGAGAATCAACATTATTGATTTCATTTTCAAGTTCGGATGACTTGTCTTCTACTGTTGGAATGGATTCAAGTTCTTGTTTCTTATCATTCAACTCTTGTTCAAGGTCCTTGTTCTTATGATCGGTTTCTGAGTTCTTTGAATTCTTTTCGTTGATCTGAGAATCAATGTTCTTGATTTCATTTTCGAGTTCGGATGACTTGTCTTCAACGGTTGGAATGGATTCAAGTTCTTGTTTCTTATCATTCAACTCTTGTTCAAGATCTTTGTTCTTCTTGTCAGTTTCTGAGTTCTTTGAATTCTTTTCGTTGATATGTGAATTGATGTTCTTGATTTCGTTTTCGAGTTCGGATGATTTGTCTTCAACGGTTGGAATGGATTCAAGTTGAGACTTCTTATCATTCAACTCTTGTTCAAGGTCCTTGTTCTTATGATCGGTTTCTGAGTTCTTTGAATTCTTGTCGTTGATATGTGAATTGATGTTCTTGATTTCGTTTTCGAGTTCGGATGATTTGTCTTCAACGGTTGGAATAGATTCAAGTTGAGACTTCTTATCATTCAACTCTTGTTCAAGGTCCTTGTTCTTATGATCGGTTTCTGAGTTCTTTGAATTCTTGTCATTGATATGTGAATTGATGTTCTTGATTTCGTTTTCGAGTTCGGATGATTTGTCTTCAACGGTTGGAATGGATTCAAGTTGAGCTTTCTTATCATTCAACTCTTGTTCAAGGTCCTTGTTCTTATGATCGGTTTCTGAGTTCTTTGAATTCTTGTCGTTGATATGTGAATTGATGTTCTTGATTTCGTTTTCGAGTTCGGATGATTTGTCTTCAACGGTTGGAATAGATTCAAGTTGAGACTTCTTATCATTCAACTCTTGTTCAAGGTCCTTGTTCTTATGATCGGTTTCTGAGTTCTTTGAATTCTTGTCATTGATATGTGAATTGATGTTCTTGATTTCGTTTTCGAGTTCGGATGATTTGTCTTCAACGGTTGGAATGGATTCAAGTTGAGCTTTCTTATCATTCAACTCTTGTTCAAGATCTTTGTTCTTCTTGTCAGTTTCTGAGTTCTTTGAATTCTTTTCGTTGATATGTGAATTGATGTTCTTGATTTCATTTTCGAGTTCGGATGATTTGTCTTCAACGGTTGGAATAGATTCAAGTTGAGCTTTCTTATCATTCAACTCTTGTTCAAGATCTTTGTTCTTCTTGTCAGTTTCTGAGTTCTTTGAATTCTTTTCGTTGATATGTGAATTGATGTTCTTGATTTCGTTTTCGAGTTCGGATGATTTGTCTTCAACGGTTGGAATAGATTCAAGTTGAGACTTCTTATCATTCAACTCTTGTTCAAGATCTTTGTTCTTCTTGTCAGTTTCTGAGTTCTTTGAATTCTTGTCATTGATCTGTGAATCAATCTTCTTAAGTTCGTTTTCAAGTTCGGATGATTTGTCTTCAACGGTTGGAATGGATTCAAGTTGAGACTTCTTATCATTCAACTCTTGTTCAAGATCTTTGTTCTTCTTGTCAGTTTCTGAGTTCTTTGAATTCTTTTCGTTGATATGTGAATTGATGTTCTTGATTTCGTTTTCGAGTTCGGATGATTTGTCTTCAACGGTTGGAATGGATTCAAGTTGAGACTTCTTATCATTCAACTCTTGTTCAAGGTCCTTGTTCTTATGATCGGTTTCTGAGTTCTTTGAATTCTTGTCATTGATATGTGAATCAATCTTCTTAAGTTCGTTTTCAAGTTCGGATGATTTGTCTTCAACTGTTGGAATAGATTCAAGTTCATTCTTCTTAGATTCCAGTTGTTGTTGAAGTTCACTGTTCTTCTTTTCTTGTTCTGCGTTCTTGGAATTCTTTTCATTAATCTGAGAATCGATTACATTGATTTCAGCTTCAAGTTTTTCTTCTTCTTCATTGGCACCTTCTTCTAAGATGATATCGCGTGCTTCTGCTTCGCCAACCATTTCGTCCTCTTCGTATTCTTCTTCGGCGTCATCAGAAAGCTGATCAAGGTAGTTGTTCACTGCATTGTCAATTGATGATTTAACTTCTTCAAGGTTAGCGCGCTCTGTTTCATCTCTATCGAGAATTGCGTTGTCAATCTCTTTAGTAATTTCGTTAGCCAAAGAAACAATTGTTTCTGGGTCGGCATTTCCTTCATTGATAGAATCAATGAGATCAGAAATGCGGTTATTGAGATCGTCAAGATATTCATCTTCGTAGGATTTCAAGAGTTCGTCAACCCAACCGTTGAGTTCTTCTTTAGCAGCCTCGATTGCATCAACAACTTCTTGATTATCTGCATTGGCAACTGCGATTTCATCAAGTTTCTCTGTTGCTTCCTGTGCAAGTTGTGTAACTATATCAAGATTACTTGGATCAGAAAGTTTGTCGTGCAATTCATCAAGAACTTTTCGAACTTCTTCGAGATATTGCTGATTTCCATTGAGCTCATCCTCCAATTCGGCTATATCATTCTTGAGCGCATCAGTTTTCTCCTGGTGGTCGTTCTGGAGATCATCAATCTGTGACTTTGTCAGAGAAATCTGATCTCGGAGATCTTGGAGACGAGAAGAAAGTTCAGATGCCTCATTGTCGGCATTAATTGTATCATTAATGAATTCTTCCTTCAACTGCTTAAGTTCTTTCTCTTTGGCTTCGATATCACGTTTGATTTTCTCGTTGTTGACATTCTTCTTTTCATTTTCTGCCTTGACTTCGTTGATAGAATTATCGAGTTGTGCTAGTCTGTTCTTTAATTCTTCAGTCTTGTCTTCGACTTCTGGATTTGTTCTAATTCTGACTGTTTATTGTTGACTTGGTTTTCGAGATCATTGTTGTTCTTAGTTATTTCATCGTTCTTGGCTTGTTTCGCGTCAATTGACTTCTGAAGATTATCAATTGTTTGTTTGAGTGCTGCTGATTTGTCTTCAACAGCTGGAATGCTGTTTAGCATTGATTGTTTCTCAGCAATAGTCTTTTCAAGATCCTCGTTGTTCTTCTTTGTTTCTTCATTCTTAGCGAGTTTATCTGCGATTTGTTTCTCGAGTTCCTTAAGTTTGTCATTGAGTCCTTGAGATTTGTCTTCAACAGCTTCAATTTGGTCGATTTCAGATTGTTTCTCTGAAATCGCTTTCTGGAGTGCTTGATTTTGTTTGATTGTTTCTTCATTCTTTCTTAATTTCTCAGCGAGCTGAGCTTCAAGAGCTGAAAGTTTAGATTGAAGTTCATCGAGTTGGGATTCGACAACTGGCAATTGATCAAGTTGTTTCTTCTTCGATTCGAGTTCGGCTTCAAGTGCTTGGTTAAGTTTAGAAGTCTCTTCGTTTCGTGAACGTTTATCAGCAATAGATGATTCAATGGCTGAAATATCCGCTAAAAGTTTAGAATGTTCGTCGGAAACTTCTGGAAGGAAGCTATTGTCGGTTTGAAGTGAGGCAAGTTTGGCATTAAGTTCTGAAATGTCTGCAAATGAAGCTTCTTGTTCGTTTTCAAGTTGAGAATGAAGATCTTCTTCTGAAACAACATCACGACGAAGATCTTCAATTGCTGACTTGTTGTCTTCAATGCATGATTGAAGAGCCGAGTTCTCGAGCTTAAGATTATCTAATTGCATAGAAAGGGAATCAATCTGAGATTTAAGGAGATCAGAATTGGCGACTAATTGTGAATTGGTTTCACGTTCGGCACGGATGGTATCTTCAAGAGCAGAAAGTTGAGTTTGAAGATTTTCGGTATCATCGGAAACTGGTTCGATTGAATCAGTTCGGCTTGTTTCTGACAAAGTTCCGCTTCAAGTTCTTTGTTCTTATGATCTATTTCGGAATTCTTAGAAAGCTTAGAGTTGATCTGAGAATTGATGCTCTTAAGTTCGTTTTCGAGTTCGGATGACTTGTCTTCTACTGTTGGAATAGATTCAAGTTCATTCTTCTTAGATTCCAGTTGTTGTTGAAGTTCACTGTTCTTCTTTTCTTGTTCTGCGTTCTTGGAATTCTTTTCGTTGATATGTGAATTGATGTTATTGATTTCGTTTTCGAGTTCGGATGATTTGTCTTCAACGGTTGGAATGGATTCAAGTTGAGACTTCTTATCATTCAACTCTTGTTCAAGGTCCTTGTTCTTATGATCGGTTTCTGAGTTCTTTGAATTCTTGTCATTGATATGTGAATTGATGTTATTGATTTCGTTTTCGAGTTCGGATGACTTGTCTCCAAATGTTGGAATGGATTCAAGTTGAGACTTCTTATCATTCAATTCTTGTTCAAGGTCTTTGTTCTTCTTGTCGGTCTCGGCATTCTTTGAATTCTTTTCATTAATCTGCGAATTGATGCTCTTGATTTCCTCTTCAACAGATGATGATTTGTCTTCAACGGTTGGAATAGATTCAAGTTCCTTCTTCTTCGATTCGAGCTGTTCTTCGAGTTCCTTGTTCTTCTTGTCGGTCTCTTCGTTCTTGGAGTTCTTTTCATTGATCTGTGATAGAAGATTGTTGATTTCGTTTTCAAGTTCTTCGCTCTTATCGTCAGCTGTTGGAATTGAATCTAATTCCTTCTTCAAGTCTGCTATTTGTTGGTTGAGATCATTGTTCTTCTTTTCATTCTCCGCGTTCTTGGCTTTCTTTTCTTTGATTTGGTTCTCAATATTGTGTAACATTTCTGTGAGTGATTGTTCATTGTCTGCCACTGTTGGAAGTTCATCGAGTTCTGCTTGTCTCTGTTCAATTAACTCTTCAGTATCATCATGTCCGCCTTCAACTTGTGGAATGAAGTCAACATCTCTTTCTTCAACAACCATAATTTCCTCTTCCTCTTCTTCGTATTCAAGATCAGCCTCTCGTGATTGAAGCAATGCTTCTAGCATCTGATCCATTTGATCCTTGTAAGCGTTGGCCTTTGCAACTGTTTCTTCGTCATCTGGGTTGTTGACAATCAATTCATCAAGGTGATTGGTTGTTTCACCAGCTAATTCATTGATTTCAACAATGTCAGCATTACCTTCAGCAATCTTGTCACTGAGGTTCTTGATTTGTTCCAAGAATTTGGCTAAATCTTTCTTATTGCTAAGAGATTTCTCAAGTCCAGCGAATTCATCTTGTTTAGCTAAAATATCTTCTGCTAACTGTCTTTCTTTGGCTTCTTGTGTTTTTTCAAGATCTTCGATTTCATTTGTAACTTCGGTGATTTTATCTTCAAGTTCGTGGAGTTGTTTTCTGAGTTCATCAGCACGTCCTCGAGCCTTTTCTGTTTCATCGACGAACTGTGTCTGGAGTTGCTCGAGTTCTTTTCGTCTGGCTTCGAGATCTTTCTCGAGATCATCGCTGCAGCCATTCAATTGTTTTTGCTGTTCACGAAGGTTCTTAATTTGTTCCTCACGTTGTTGTAATTGTTTCCTGCGTAATTCATTGGAATTACTTATGTCATTATTGAGGTTGGTGTGATAGTCAAAAGATTTATTGAGATCATCGAGTTTCTGTTCAAGGGCAACTCGTTCGTTGTTGAGTCTTTCGAGTTCATTCTTGTTGTCTTCGTCTTGCTTGTTCTTGTCTTGTTCAGCCTTTGCAACAGCCTTTGTGAGATTGTCGATGACGTTCTTGAGATTTTCAGTTTGATTGTTGTCTTCCTTCTGTTTCTGATCGCGGCGATCGTAGTAATCTGCGAGTTTCTTCTCGAGTTCAGCGATTTTATCAATGAGATCAGCGTTCTGATCCTTGTTTGCTTCCTCTTGAAGTAATGATTCTTGTTCAGCAATAGAGTCTTGGAGTTCAGATTTGCGGTTCAAGAGATCCTTGAGTTCTTCTTCTCTCTCGATATTATCAGCAGAGAGATTTGCGATGATTGAAGATTTTTCAGAAATGCGATCTTGTAACTTGACTTCTTCCTCATCGATTGTCTTGTTGAGAGACTCGTTTTGGTTTTGAAGACTTTGGATTTGGTCTTCAAGTTCTTGAAGAGTTGCATCCTTGTTTGCAAGGTCTTCATTAAGTTGGTCCTTGAGACCTTCATTTTCTGCGGCTAATCTGTTGAGTTCTTCTGTAAGCATTTCGATCTGATCGTTCAATGATTGTTCCTTGGCGTTTCTTTCTTCATTCAAAGTGTTCTGCTCGGCTTCAGCTTTCTCGATTTGCTCGTTGAGGTTCTTGAGTTTTTCTTCAAGATCATTGAATTCGGCTGTTTGTTTCTCTTCAGCAGCCTTGTTTCCGTTCTGAAGATCATTGAGTTGTGACTCTTTCTGAGCGAGTTCTGCCTTGGCTTCATCGTTCTTGCGCTGAATATCTTCTGCCTTTTGTTTCTCGTCAGCAATTGACTTCTCGAGTTCTTCGAGTTTCTTCTGTAATTCAGAGAGTTGATCTTGAACAATTGGAAGATTGTCAAGTTCTGTTTGTTTCTGGTTGACTTGATCTTGGAGTTGTTTATTGGTGTTCTCAAGTCTTTCGTTTTCAGCTGTCTTTTCTGCGAGTTCGTCTTCGAGTGATGACTTCTGTTTATTGAGTTCATCATTCTTAGATTGAATCTTTTCGTTATCAGACTTCTTTTGTTCAATGGCTTCTTTGAGGGCAGCAATCTCGGATTCAAGAAATTGTGTTTCATCGGGTGTTTCTTCGATTTCGGAACGAGCTTGTTCAAGATCGTTCAACTGCTTACGAAGTTCGTCGTTGTGTGATTTCTTGTCTTCAAGTGATTTCTCTGCGGCGGCGAGTTTATCTTGAGCAGCTTTGATGAGTTCGTTGAGTTTGTCACTGTCATCTGGAACATCGTTGATGTTGGATAATTGACGATTAAGATTGTCAAGTTCGTGTTGTAATTTGCTGTTGTTCTTGGCACGATCAACATTGTTTTGCTTCTTATCTTCAATGGACTTCTTAACGTTCTCAATATCCGACTTCAACTGTTGACTTTCATCTTCAACATCTGGAATCTTAGAAAGTGCATCTTGTGCTTGTTCTAATTCCTTATGAAGCTTTTCGTTGTTTTCAGAGATCTTCTCATTCTGTGCTTGTTTAGATTCAAGTGTTCCCTTGACTTCGGCAATGCGTAATTCAAGAGATGGACTTTCATCTTCAACATCGGAAATTGATTCGAGATCGCGTTCTTTAGCGGAGAGTTCGTCTTCAAGTGACTTGTTCTTGGCTTCGGTTTCAGAGTTCTTCTTCTCCTTATCAGCGATGTCATCAATTACCTTCTGGATTTGTTCCTGAAGTTTATCTGACTTATCTTCAACATCAGGAATAGCGTTGAGCTGATCTTCCTTCTGTTTAAGTTCGTCTTCTAACTTCTTGTTGTTGGAAGCTGATTCATCGTTCTTCTTCTGTTTATCAGCGATCTTTTGCTTGAGTTCATCAATTGCCTTCTTAAGATTTTCAGAATTGTCTTCTGTTTCTGGAATACTGTTAAGCAAGTCCTCAAGACTGTTCTGTTTCTCAGAAAGTTCCTTGTTACGGGCATCCTTTCTTTCGTTTTCTTCCTTCTTGTTGTTGATCTGATCAAGAAGTTCCTTGATCTTTCTCTCCTTGTCATCGGAAGAATCGTCAAGTTCATCCATGTCTTCGAGTTGTATCTGTAGTTGTCTTAGTTGATCTTCAAGTTGTTTGTTCTTTTCGTTTGTTTCGTCGTTCTTCTTGTCTTTGTCTTCAATTTGCTTGCGAACTTCATCGATTTGTTTCTGAAGATCTTCTGTCTTATCAGCTGTTTCTGGAATTGAATTGAGTTCGTTTTGTTTCTTCTCGAGATCATTAGCGAGTTTCTTGTTCTTTGCCTCGATTTCGTCATTCTTCTTCTGTTTGTCTGCGATGTTGGAGTTGACTTCCTTAAGTTTACGAGCTAAATCGGATGAATTGTCTTCTGTTTCTGGAATTGAGTTGAGTTCACCTTTCTTCTTCTGTAATTCATCTTCAAGTTGTTTGTTCTTTGAGTTGATTTCGTCGTTCTTCTTGTCTTGTTCGGAAATCTTTGAGTTGATCTCATCGATTGCTTTCTGGATCTCTTCTGTCTTGTCTGCTGTTTCTGGAATGGAATTCAACTCGTTCTGCTTCTGTTCGAGATCGCTTTCGAGTTTCTTGTTCTTGGCTTCGGTTTCTTCGTTCGTTCTTTCTTTGTCGGCGATTTCGCTCTCAATATCCTTCATCTTACGAGCAACTTCACTTGACTTGTCTTCTGACTCTGGAATAGATTCGAGTTCATCTCTCTTCTTTTGTAATTCGTCTTCGAGTTGTTTGTTCTTTTCGTTGATCTCGTCGTTCTTCTGATCCTTGGTAGAGATTTGATCATTGAGGTCTTGAATTGCCTTCTGAATCTCTTCTGTCTTGTCTTGTGTTTCTGGAATCGATTCGAGTTCATTCTGTTTCTTCTGAAGTTGTTCTTCAAGTTTCTTGTTCTTGGCTTCGGTTTCTTCGTTCTTTCTTTCTTTGTCGGCGATTTGGTTATCGATGTCCTTCATCTTACGAGCAACTTCACTTGACTTGTCTTCTGACTCTTCGATAGATTCAAGTTCATCTTTCTTCTTCTGAAGATCATCCTCGAGCTGTTTGTTCTTATCGTTGATCTCGTCGTTCTTTTGATCCTTATCTTCGATTTGTTTAACAACGTCTTCGATTTCCTTCTGGATTTCTTTTGTCTTATC